CCAACCTTTTTAAAGACGTTTCACGTCAAAATATTCCCCGGTACGAGACCGACTTCTTACGGTTGGGAAATACCTAATGCGCCCGTGCCGACTGACATTGGTCCGAACATGATGCAGGAATGAAGCATTCTTGAGATATTTCTCTCTGGAGAAATCTTAGGCTCCCTTCGGGACAGAACTCGAAACATCATCGCGAAAAAGCACGGTAGACGTATCCGTGATTACTGCGATCCCCGGCTCCACGGAAGACGTCCGTTTCCTGGAAATCAAAGAATCTACATGACGTCCATATTTTCCATATGTGCACATCGCCGCGATACGATCTCTGACGACTCGAAGCGGAGTTTTCGGATTGGCCCTTTGCGCCTCTTCGACTCCCAGAGGCTCGAGGTATACGGCAACACGGAGAGAGCACCGCACGATGAGCAGGAGAAGCATGTTTCGAGCCGGGAACTGCTCTCGATATGGAGTCTGGATAGCGTAAGAGCGCCCCCCTTAATAACAGCTTTGCAGCTTCACGCTAAACACCACCACCATGAAGGTCCCATTTATGATGCGCTTCACATCAGCGTGAAAAGACAGCATACCGGTCTGCGGTCGGGAGGGAAAACAGGGCACTGCCGACAGACTCCTTCCCATGGACGACTTCTGCTACTTCTGAGCTTATCCACGCCCCGAGGCTCCTCCGGAAGATATCATGGACAGCAGGGAGAATGCACGCGTTGAACGCAAAGAAGCAAGCCGCCTAGCCGCGAGTACACAGCCCGTTGCTCGCCTTGCGGCGTGATCCGGCTCAATTATCGTGGCTGCTCATGAGGTTATGAGCCAACAGCACGTCCGATGACCCCCAGGGATATACAAAACATAATGGTAGTTCAAAACCGCGACCTTTCAGCTGAACTCTCTAGCTTGATAGTGTCGTGAATAACGCATAGTCTGTGGGCTTTCGGGCTTCGCACAAGTGAGCTTCTCGCGGAGCTCATTTGCGGACGATTTCGAGACTCAAATTCGACAACATGACCCGCCAAATCGTCCAGCCGCAAGATTGGTCGGCCTCTGTACTGACCATTCATTATCCGTCTCGGAAAAAAGCCTGGTCGATCTTGATACGCCTAATCGGCCTTGATCCCGGCTGACTGAGGGCTGAACATCGATAACAAGATGGAACTTGATTTGCGACAACGCTTCAACTGTGTCACCGTCCAGATCCTGACGCGAAGCCTCAGTTCACATTATTTTCTGGTGCACGTCTTGCGCCGCATCCGGATCGTGGAGGAGGCGTAACAATGGAAGTATCTTCCGTAGGGTGTGTTCCTCGTGGTCGAGAGAGGAATTCAGCGTTCGGTCCTTGCTCGAGGCGCATCCGATACGCGATAATTTCCGCCCGACTAATGCCGCTGCCTCATCGTCCTCTCCGGTTCCCGCCACGCCATAGGTAGGAACGTTCCTCATCCATATCATACACCTAAATTGGCTGTATTGGAATCCGGTATCTTTGGTGACTAACCATAGTCGCAGCAAGTGGTTGCGGACAAAAGTGTCGATTCTGCAATCGATGCGTGTGCCGCGCGCCAAACCGCAGTAATGGCGATTCCAGGGAAGGGAAAAGGGAACGATGCGTGCTCACTGGGGATGTGTGATGTAAGAATGAATATTCGACGCTGTACTTTCCGCACTGGGCAACATTTTCAATTTTCCTTTGGTTGTCGACCAAGTGTGTTGAAATCTCTGCACTAGGAGCGTAAATTCGTCTGGAGTCTAGCGTTACTCGTTCGTAGAGGAATGTCATCATTTGTGCCGGTCTCGAATGAAATCGTCGGCAGCGCGAGGTTCAAACCTCGATGCGCCGTAGGAGTTGAGTCGAGAAACGGAGCTCGATCGATCTGCTGGAAGAGTCTCTTGAACTGATCAGAGTCGACAGTGCTGTCGAACCTCTCGAACCTGATGCGTTCCGGATGATCGTTCGTGAATCGAGAGAGAATTCCTTCCGGGAGTTTTCACCGAGGGATCACTCTTCACAAGCGAAGAAGTCTTTTTTGAACGGAAAGAGTGGTTCCCATCCGACATCGACTGGGATGGGAGTGATTCCGTTTCTCTGGGGAACTGTCGTCTCCAGTCGGAGTCGAGAGCGTTCGTGGATCGGATCTGCGTGCACATGCAGCTGGAGGCATATTCGTCCGAGAAGGACCGCTCGCAGATCTACTCGTCCGTCGGTTGAGACGCTGCTCTTCCTAGCCGTGTTTCTCCACGGACCTTCCGTGTATTTTCGTGACGAAGTCGATGCGGATAATCTGTGTCCAATCGGCTGAGCAGCGAACAATACATGAAACTCGTGAGGAATGATGATGACTCGAATACAGCGACAGATTCATTTTGATTCAGCAACTCTTTGAGCATTTATGAGAATCGAGTCGAAGGAAAAACAAGTGTACCCCCATTGCTCCTCGATCCTCCTCCTATAGTCCCGAATCCCTGAGCTTTGAAAGAGTTGTGAGTAAGGCGTAAGGGGAACCTGGCCCGATCCAGGTTCCCGGTATGTGGCTTCGATCACGAGAACTGGTTCCTATTCTTTCGCGAACTGGACTCTTCCCTTTCCACTCCGAGAAGATCAGGCTCTAATCTTGTCGATTCATTATCCGATGAGACGCTCTTCGACTGTGATGGCATTGTCACGTGAGTGACGATCGCAGAGGGGCCATGGTATCGATTACCGCACAAGAACAGGGAATTCTCTGTCGCTTGATGGAACACTCGATGCATCTGAAGAAAAGCAATCTCTGTAATTGCCAAGCAGAGCTCCGGCCCGCACACAATCCAGAGTAGAATACTCGATGCATCCGCTGAGGCCTGATCGCGCGTGTTCGTCTCTGAAAGCAGAAGTCCGCGACACGATTTAGTCTGCTCTATATATCGAGGCTATGTAAGGTCGAAGCCTTGCGCGGACCCCGGCGCCGCGTCGTCCGGAGGACATAGTCCAGAAAGCGATCTAAGCTCGCGGTGATACTTATGCGGCAGCCGCCCAAGAGATAGGACCGCCAGCGGTTTCCCGTAATCCGGAAATCTGGTGGTGGAGTCATCGGATAATCACCGCAGGGTGAAGGTGTCAGCGTCAGGTACATCCGAGTCCCGTCAGTTAGCCTAGAGCAGCATCGAGGACGGCGCCAGAAATGTTCGGGCAGACGGCTGAATTCGCCTCAGGAGTTGTCGAATCGGCGGAGGCACGTGTGTCTCGACGGAGCTCGCTGCAGGATATTCTAAGACAGCTACACCGCAAATCTAGACGCGACGCAGGCTTCTAGGAATAATGACCGCGGAATCAGAGCGAAGCTTGTGATCGATGGTCAATTATTCTGTCATTATTTCGAACGTGACAGAGATCTACGAGTCGATTCGAAGTCCTTCTCCGCCGGACCATGCATCAGAACGAGGGGATGATGTATTTTCATGACCTTAGCTCACAGGGATGGAAACGCTCGAAGCGCTGATCACTTGAGAAGGTGCTCCGATACCGCTGGAGGAGACGCTGACTTGACACTCTTCCCCGTCGAGTCGAGGGTTGGCGTGTGGAGTTTCTTGATTTCAGGGGATATGTTCTCGCTCACAAAAGTCGATCTTCCTTTGTGAGCTCTTTCCGAGCTCCGAGTGAGAGCCACGTATTGAGCTCGGACCTTTCCTCGACAGAGCTCAATTCGGACACAGCTTGGATCCAGTAATGCACCTACATGTCGTGGCAGGCAGGGTGGAACCCGACAAGAGGCTAAGCGATGCATCGTCTATATATTCTTCTCATGAATCCGAGTTTGGATCCCCGACGCCTTCAGTCGCCGAGAGTTACTCATGCTTCCACCAGGCTTTCCGGTCAAAATCACTGCGGGCGACTGCTAGAATTCCGAGGCGATCAGCTAGGGTCGGTTCGTCTCGTCTCGATCCGAAAAGGAGACTAAATACCTACATGTCTAATTGGTGAGGACGCCAACGAGCTCTCCCCGACCGGATCGAATATCCGAAGGACCACTTGGAGTTGCTCAAGGCTTATGGCTCCCCAGTCCGAAAATTCCCTCCTTCCTGAATGATGATCCATGATCTGAGCCGACGGTTGCTGGAGTGATCCCTCAGCGGTCAATGAAGATTCTCACTCGATGGATAGGGTTCCGCAGGGTCCATATATTCAGTGAGGAGTGTCCGTAGAGGGACCCAAGGCTAAAAATCCTGGAAACCACTGATGTAAGCTTTCTCCCTTCCACCCCTGTAGCACCTGGGAGCGACGCCGATGATTCACGTCTGAGCAATCGGTACCGCGGCATCTCTCCCAGAACCATGTTCCGTTTCTTGGCGCCCGACTGAAACTCATCTCTCGAGCGAGATCGGGCATATCTGATCGGTCGATGCTAGAGTCGGCCAGTCCCCAAGGTCCCGACCTCGGTTCTCGTGGGCGGAAACATCCTCCTTATTCTTCCCCCCGGCGAGATACACCGAGGGAAAAATGGAAGCCGTCCAGCTGACTTCCGATCTCAGATGCGCGTCTCACGAAGCTCATCTGATATTTCGAAATTTATTCATTACACTCCAAGTGAGCTCTTATCCCTGTAATCTCTCGACATAAGCTGCTCGGGTATGAAATCGAGTCGTCGCCTGGAACCCGCAGGAGCGTTACCTAGGAGGTGGGACCTATCAATAGTTGCCCAGAAGTCTGATCGAGATCGGGTGCCCACCGAATTTCTTCAAGAGTACAGAACGAATTCGGCATCGCCAGAGAACTACGATGCATCATGGAGCTCCCGGCGAAACCTGAGATCCAATGAAATTCGAATGTACAGAAGTTTTCGCTCGTGAGGGGTGCGGGTTTTTGGAGTAACTTCCTTGAAAGATCAATGTGGTCTCGCTTTTCTCATCTAGCGATTCTGAGAATTTTACATCGGAATTACACAGACTAGATAAGCACACTGTTCACAGTGAGCAGATCAGATTGACATCTCTTGCGGCGGATGCCATGAATAGAGCTAATTTAGCGTTGTCAGGTATCTGATCTGGTCAATATACAGAGGATAACCCAGAGGAGGGTCTGCCGACTGGATTGTCAGATTCCGCAGCAGCCAGGGATGAGCTTGAATCGAATACCGCTCGTCGTCATCATTCGTCATGTAGAGTAGCTCCAAGGATAACGTGGTCCAGATAGAATCCACCGTGCTGCCACTCAATGTCCCCACGTAGACTGGCTCATCAAGTATCAGACTTAGCAGATGACTGGTGTACACATCCGAACTCGAATCGTGAGCTATTGAAAACATATACGGCACTTCATTGTTGACACATGTGTTCCATTGGGGGGATCCTTCGACCCCGATGAACCAACGATTATCGTAAGTTTCGAGGATCCGGGCTAGCTCCCTTTCGGTTTCGGCCTCGCTGATGATTACCGTGTCTATGGCGAGCTTCGTCGTGAACTGCACGGCTCGCTGAACGAGAGCGTGCAAGTCGGTCGGCAGATCGACGAAAAAATCCCCGTTAAATGCCTGATTCACGAGCGCGGGAGTAAGAGACTCATCAGGGAATACGGCACGGAAACAAAAGTCGCAGACCTGTCGGTAATCAACGCACAGAGAAGGTTCCTCAGCCGTAGCCATTACTATACCGGGAAATGTTCGTCGTACCTGCGAAATTGGAAGGCTTACAAAAGGAGCTGAAACCGAGTTTATATTTTTGTATAGATAGTCGAGAAGGAGGGGCAGTTGTATTGGGACTCCCGCACCACTGCGAATAGAGCCTACCCGCCTTGGAATGGCTCAGACGCACTGTCGCTGATCCGCCCCCAGCGGGATCATCCGAAGTTTCCCTCGGCGGCCCTCCGTACTTTTTTCAAAATCATACTCACGTGGACAGCCACGATTGACATCCAAGAATCGATGAAGAGTCTTGAAGGATATCTCCTGAAGGGACTCCTTTCTTTCGATATGATCGTCCACCACGACTTCCGCGGTCTGTATCGGGAATGCTCACTGAGCATGTCGGTGGATGCGGATACGTCTTCGGTTTGGATATTGTTGTTCTCTGCAACCGTTTAGTTCCAGGTGATTCCCGGGAGCCCTTCGGGTATCGTACCTAGAGTCGTTTTGAAGGTGTCCCTGCCTGCGACTGCTTCATGATCGAGGCGGACCGTCATCGTCATCCTTGTCTCTCTCGTGAGGAAAGCGTTGGCTGTGTTCTAGTCAGAACTCCCAAGATTCTCCACGGCTGTCACTCACCGCTCATTTTCGCAGCCTGGTGATGCAGCAGAACCCAAAGAAGGACGCGCGAGAAATTGTTCAATAACGCTTCGAAGAAGGCTGGCTGATCGATAACCCCGGTCAGGACGTTGCGCGCGGAAGAGTACGTCACCACGTGGGTTCGTGCCCGAGGTCGGAACGTGTTGGTGGCGTGGGGATTCAAACAACCCGTCCCCTCCTTCAGGAAGCAATCCTCGATGATCTCGTCCACCTTGTGTAAGATTTCCAATATGAGTCTAGAAAATTCGGAGATCTCTCGGGGGAGTCCCCGAACCGCGAAGGACTTATGAGCCTGGCCCCTTGAGCCTGGCTTCAGGATACGATGGCTGACACTCATTGAGCCAAAGGCAACTTACTTTCCCCGCCTCCAGAGTATGGCAAGAGGTTTCCTGGAGCTCAAGTCCCTTAGCTTCGACGCAGCGGAACAGGTACCCGGATTCGATTATTCTCAGGAAAACGAGTCGATTCTGATGGCGTGCGAGGAAACACGAACCCGCATTCAGCGAACCCAGCAGCCCACGGCTCACAGACTTCTCCAGCTGGGTCATGAGCCGGGGTATGAACTGTGGAATAAGACCAAAAAATTTCATTGAGCAGAGATCGTCGTTGCTCAGAGGTGACTTGAGAAGGGCGAGGCTGAGAGCGGCTAGTTCCGTAGGATAACTTGTTTCCTCGATTGTTTGTAATGGGATTAGAAAGAAGACACGAGCCAGCTGTGCAGGAGACGAAAATGTCTGTCGTCTCGCAGTCGTCATTTACCTGAGCGTAGAACACGACATCGCTGAGTACCGTGGCGCTCCCTTCCGGAAGACGACTCCGCTCGCGCTCTTTATCCTGAGGCCGCTTCCTCCGTTCCAGTGAAGCCTCCGGTAGCGAAGACTGCGATGGCGGTGATGTTGCTCGCTTCTGATGATGGTTTTCGCGGAAAGCCCAGAACCGGCGCGGCCTCGGGAAGCCAGGAATAAATATAGGTAAAGAAAATAAAGCTAGAACTGGACTCTGCAGGAAGGCGGTCACACCTGCCACGAATATCACCCACGGTAGGAAAATGATATTCAGCCCTGTAAAGCACGAGGAGACAGTCGTTCAGCAGTCTTCGGGGGCCACCGTTCAGGGTGTTTCATCGGGTACGAACATAAAGCCTCAGTCCCTACGATCTATGTCGAGAATTTGAGGATTCTGTTCTCGCGCCGACTCCTGATACTGGCGGGAAAACGTCTAAGCGAACTCACCAAACAGAAGCCAATTATGCTGGAGACGTTGCTTCGGAATGAACACAGACGAGAACAAGATGATCATGATTGTATACACTCGCTCCAAAAACCCAATGAGAGTTCGCAACGTCACTGACACCAATGCGAACAGAGCGCAGAGAGGGAATCCCATCAGATCTTCGTTCAAAACTCTCAGCATGACTGTTATTATACATACGAGAATGGAGTTCCGCGTGAATTGTATCACCTGGAGAGAGCAGAGTAGAATTCACAGGAACATCAATGAGTTTGTTATGGTCGTCATGGAGGGGTTTCCTCCGAATCATGAACGGTGAAATAAGCCGGTAGTAATCCCAAATCATTCGCTGAGAGTCAATGATGAACCCGCAGAAGAACCAATGGGACGCGATCCCACCGTGAGCTCCAGCTGGACATTCACACCTAATATATACTGTGAAAACAACTTACTTCTCGGTGCGCTTTAATAAGTGAAATCGTGACGAGGAGTCGTCGTACTGCATTCCCCACGTAGAAATCACCGCTCGTTAGGATCCAGCACATCATCGGCGGACTCACTGGAATCAGGACCTTCCCATGAGAATTTCCCGAGTGCGAGGGCGAGTGTTTAGAGCATGTACGAGGAGGAAGCGATTCATTCAATTTCTTTCCATGAACCCCCGCGCCGTCGAGTAGAAAGCGGAGACGAAGCTAGGCGCCCCCTGTATGTAAAATCGATCAGGAAGATCGCTATGCGTTGAGCGGATTTTCGCTCAGGAGTACAAAAACGCGTCGGCAGCACTTCGAGATACTCTCGTATGTTCGATTCAGGTTCCGTTCCTCTCGGAGATCACGTCGTCCTGCGGCGAGATTATCAATGAATATGATCAATGATCATATACATGGTGACTCACCCGTGTGTACGAGCGCACCCTGGACGACCAAGTGGATTAGACTCCCACAGCTCGTCATTCGTCGCGCCTTGAAGTTGCTCCAGAGCGGATTCCGGATGAGTCCCCCGAAAACTGTGACCTTTTGGGCGCAGGAGAGCACTTCCGAGAGGATGAGGACAACGGCTAGGATCGAAACGATGGCCAATTCCGCTTCCTTGGACACCGAATTTTCTTTTATGGAAACTGCCAGACACACGATGAGCGTCACGCAATGCTGGAGAGCTGGATAGGGCTTGCGTAAGTTGCCGAAATGTATGGACAGAGCAAAGCCTCCGAGGAACGAGATGACTGCAATCGCGTTCCGAACGTAGAAACAGATCACAGTGAGCACGAGCGAAGCGAGAAGTTTCGTGTAGAGCCTGTGGAGAAAATTCTTCAGGCCTTGAGAATCTGCGAGAAGCTTCTCCTTGCTCCCTAGTCTCGAAATTCATGTGGCCGCGCGCCGGAGTATGAACATCGACGCCTTCATTTAGCCCCTGTCACAGTGATTAGATGACTGTACAAGATTTTTTGTTGGCGAAAGTCCTGTAAGCTCTCCCTCCTACTTACGACAACTCGCTCGCAGTTGGTGAGCCCCCGAAGACGGTTGATGTCACCCATTCTCCGAGCCACAGTTTGAGGGCGTCGAGCGGAGCTAGAACTCCGAGAAGCCACAGTAGTGGCAACGAAGAGATAAATGCGTCCGTGATAGGAACCAGGAAGTGGTTCATGCTCTCCACAGGTACTTCTCGCAGAAAAACCGCTATTCCGACCGAACACGTCAAGTAGAAAGGACGCATCAGAGGCTGATGCCTGCAAGGGTTCAAACGTATCTCCATGTTAAAGATCTATGCGAGGAATGAGCACTAATCCTCAGGGCAACTCTCGAAAAATGCGTCGGCTCATTCCCGCGGGGGACTTCCGACACCGTGCATGTATCTCGATCGGTCAACGGTGCTTCCATCCATGCTGCAGCACACGAACCCGGGCAGTGAATCCGAAACACGTCCGCAGTCGATGACCTCGGTCAATGAAGACAGACATTTATTCACTTTGTGGATGAGCTATAGCTTTTGACAATGCTGTTCGACTTAAGGCAGCTGATGCGATTCGCCTGGATTACGGTTGAAGTATCTTGCATTGGCGTCCTTGCTGAGCAAGAGTCATGCCCCAAAGCGAATATTTCCCGTATCGTTCAGTTTCCCGGAAACGCAGCCCTGAGGATTCATGCTCCACGCTAGGTGCTACGAGGGTAGGAATTACTGTGTCATCCTGAAGCTTATCTCGGCTCGGGGGTGCAGCGAGCTCGTTCTACTTATCGCCACGTACCATGAGTCCTGATGAGCGTTCTGAGGGATTTGGAACGTCGCAGTCTCTATGGGCGACTGGATCGCCAGAGAATGCATCGCGATGCAATCTGCGAACCACAAGAGATAGCGAACGATCATCTGCAGACTCCATATCGAGTTGACTTCGCGATGCTGAAAACCGACAGGTCGATGAGAGCTAGAGCTACGCGTCTGCAGCCATCCGCCGACAAATCATCGCAGAAATCGTACTCTTCAATCGGTCGCCCAATTAGTCCTCCGTCGAAGCACCAGCTCCTCGAAGCTGTCGACTCCTTCACCGATTCACTGTGATGACGTGAAAATGACCAACCCTCTATTCGAGTGGTCAACACTGCCGCCCCCGCTGGATTTGAGCATTCAGGAGCAAAGTTGGGACGGGCTCAAGGCCCTGCCTCTCCCGGCCCCGAAGTTCAACAACGGCTCAGACTACGCCGTACGTTTGTCGAAGATCCCTGCCGGGGATCCATTCCGAAAAGTCCGATCATCGCTTATCGACTACTTCGGCCTTTGCTCCGTGATGAATGCGAGACCATAAGCACTCTCCGTTCCGCGATCGGCTTCAAGCTCGCGCAGCCGCTAGGCGACAGTTCTCTTCGGAAGTCGGCGACCGTGGCCGCCGGGCGAGAACTCAGACTCCGGGAGCAGACCCAAGTCTAGCGCGGAGTTCCCGATCACATTCTGCCGACGAACTCCAGGAACAATTGGGGAACCTCCCACAAACGTGCCCTCTTCTCGGTATGGACGAAAGACAGAACTCAGGACTTCGAAGCATGGGATTCGCGGCAGCAGCAGACTTGATTAGTACGGTGTAGGAATTGCTTATCATCACGCGGCGCAGATATCACGTCAGCTGTGTGCTGCCATTCAATTCCAAAACCATGGAGCCGATTCGGGTCACGGGGTCGGATACAGTATGCCGGGACTCGAACCTCGATTGAAACGATCAACTTCCGCGTGAAAATGGATTCCTGAATTGTCTCGTGTCCCAGACGAAATTCATACGGGGTTTCAATTGTGAAACGGAATTTCGCTTGACAATCGGCCAAGATCCAGAAGCTGGGAAGCCTCATCCCTGAGTCACATCCCCGGAAGCAAGGATCATACCATAAAACATAAAGGGGAGTCTACAAACTGTATCTACCACGCATCGTTGACCCACCGGGACCATAAAATATCACTCGATATATGCAGGAATATTTTTGACGCGCTGCTTTCAGGAAGAGCTTGTCATGTGATTCTCGCCTGGGTCCACGGCCCACGGTAGCCTGTTGCATCCAATAGCCAGAGCTATCGCTCGTTCTATCGATTCCGCGCGAAATCTTCAACAGAGACCCACCGCTGGTCCAAAGCCTGAGTGACGGGATTTTCGCTCTGATCATCAACTTATGGGCAAGATTACTCACCGTCAACCAGAAATTCAAATACTGGACCGCGAAATGTAGAACAGCGGCGACCACTGCGTAAAGAAGAGCGTAGTTGAAGGGTGTAGGTTTCGATAAGAGCTGCGTTAGCGTGATTTCGTCCTGTATAGAGCGACTCGTTAGTGATGGGTGTCACGGAAGACCGATCTCGCAATGTCCCTTGACAATACCTTATCGGTTTCGGGTGCCACCGCGTGCCTCCTCCGGTAGTTGAAAAGGAGCCAGGAGATGATGACGAAGAGAAATGTTATCCCGGAGAGTATTCCGCAGGCACAAAGGAAGTCGAGAACGTAGTGGCGGACCAAATTATCCAGGAGGACCCCCCCGGTGAAAAAGGGCCACCAGAACAAGATGCTTTCCAGAAGCCAAAACGATAGCCGTCGGCATCCTCGCAGAGAATCTGGATCGAAAAGAGGTGATTGAGAGGCGGGAGGCCGACTCATTGGCGCTGCGTCGCCCGAGCCGGAATTCACGCGCGCGGGGAAGGAAGAAAGAAATGAGGAGAGAATGACGTTCTTACGCGCGAATAGAAGCTTGTCGGGCCTTTGCTCGCACCATTTCATTTCCTACTCCACTCACAGATTGTAACTTTAAATAGACCGGCGCTGAGTTTATAGATCAGATCGTTTCTGTTCCCGATCGAGTTTCCCGTCGTGCGTGCATTCTATCATCAGACCGAAGCTGGGGCCGGAGGAATCTCCGGACCGTTCCTCGATCGGCCCCAGGTCTCGCGAAGAAGTTTTCTCCGACGGAACCTCACACGATTGACGATCTCCCTCATATCGAGATTCTTGATCGTCGCGATCCGACTCTTAATCCAATCTCGCTTCGCATCTCAACGAAAGCTTGAGAGCCCTCGGGAAGATCGAATGAATCACTGTACCTCGCATGAGATCATGATAGAATCGGGAACGACCGACCCGTAAGTGTGTCCGTTGGACCAAATTATCGCGATGAATGAATCGCGAATGAAACTTGCTCAATCGAGGTCCGTGGGTCTCTCAGAATTGCTTCGCGAGCTTCGGTAGTCGAAAAATGAGAGGGGAAGGCAATGTTTCCTCATGAGAGCGATCCGATACATTTGACGCGGTCGAGAGCCCAATGCTCCTGTTTGCGAATCTCGTCGAACAGCAAGAGCAAAAACTCTGGTCTGAGAGCCAGAACGCCGAATAATTGAACATTAAATAAACTCACCTGGGGGCCAGGGCACTCCTCCCGTGGCTGTGGAGAAGAGTCGAGCCGCAACAAAACCCCCTTTATAGCTACTCACTAAAGGGTTTCCCATGACAGTCGAACTGCAACCTGTTTGACATCACAAGGAGCTCCCTAGGAACGTGTTTTATCTCGAAACATCGTTTTCACTTCATCCGCTTTTACTCGAAAAGAAATAGCGAGAGAATCCTGGACAACATTGCAGACTATGTGTGAAGCCTGTGCTGCGCCGGTCAATGTTTTCGTACTCATTCACCAGTCTCTATGGAAACCATCGCTGAAGAGACTGTGAATCGGCTCGACTGGAATTGTTCTCAACGAGTAGCTTGTCAACTCGCGCTTGGCCCACTTCGCTTAGCGGTCGGCTCACTGGAGACTTCAACGACTCTTTTGTAATTCAAATTGGTCGCTCTAAAAAGTCTGAGCACTCGCTCGAATTCGTCAACTATAAATGATCGATCACGGCAGATAAACGACTATCCAAAGTGAGCGGGCGGCCATATGAGCCGGTTCCGTAAGACTAGATGCTCATGAGTCGACAGGGGTGGCTCCTCGTATATGAGGATCCTCCCGGATGGAAACGATTCGTCGCTGAAGAACGCTACCGATGACAGCGCGAGGAGCGGAATCTTTTTGAGAAAGACGCATTTCACGACTCTCATCCTCACTTGGATTCCCGGATTGGTCCATAGGGTCCCTCCTCGGGGAGCCGGGAGAGAGCCAGAATTCACGCCCCAATGAGGGTTCGAATCTTCCATATCTGTTTGGAACAGCTGAGAATTCAATTCACTTTACCCTGCCGCTGGGCACAAGCTTGCCCGAGTCCCCGGAGCTCCTGAAGGCTGATGAGTATTGCAGGCCGAGCAGTTCTCGGGACCGAGCCCGAGCTCGGTTCCCGCGCGAATCGACGTCGAGAATTATTCCACCCGCGAGGCGCGCCTCTGGGAGAGCAAACCGACAAATGCAAGCTAGATGAACCATCCTCGATGGAATGCCCCAGCCGCGATCTAAACCGGAGATGATCCTTTCGGGCAGGAAGAGTTTTCCCTTGAGTTCGGAGTGAAGAGAACGGAGTGGGACCCAGCGGATCCAGGCTTTTGACATCGATCGTGAAGGAATGTACGCGCCGAATCTGGAAGGTTCAGAGCCCCTAACCCCTATATTGAGCTGGAGTTGACCTCATTAATATTCAGGTCACGCCGGCAGCCTGCTAATTGCCTGCTGAGAGGGGCCCAGGAAAAGAACAAACTTGGGACCGTGAAGCTCATGCCGTGGACTCTGATCGGGCGCTGCGGATTCTTGAATATCACATAATCCCCCGTCTTTGTCTCTAAGCCCCTCCCTTCGCTACTCTCTTGCAAAACCTGAACCGGATCGACGAGGTCGACCTACCGGGATACAGTCGAACCCGCCTAAAATAGAGAACCGGATATAAAAGACCGATCCCGATTCCCCGATTTTTTCTCCATAGGGCTTCATGGTAAAAATATCGCGTATAAGAATTTCGGATTCAAGAGAAAACCGGATATAAGAGACCATCCCGAAACCTCGGCTCCATAGAGTCCCATGTCGGAGACCTCTTATATAAGAGAGAAGCATCTCAAGCAGAATTCAGGTTTGCCCTTCCATGACTTTTCTTCCTCTCGAAAGCTGCCCGAATAAGATATGGTTCTGATGAACTTCCGTAATAAATCAGAATTCGCTCTGAAAACGATCGTCCCTGCGCTGAATCATGGTATGGGCATCCGAGTCATACGAGAACGGGACTTCTTAGGTTTTTCCATGGAAAACCTGTACCTCGGATATTAGAGAGACCGGATATAAGAGACCATTCTCAATTCCCCGAGAGGCCTCTTGTGAGCGGGTTCGACTGTAGTCGAATTCTCGAAAGCATCCTTCCGATACGGAGTCATTCGATACCGTGAGGCTCATGTAATTCTGCCAGGGCGTGTTCAGGATGTATGCGTCAGAATGCGACGGTTGGGAGTTGACGAGTCATGACCCCGTACACGTGTGAGAGTCGCTAGACAGATGCTCAATGACATTCTTTCTGTTCTCTCGACCTCGGGAATGAATCTATACAAAGTTATCGGCTCATTATGCCGGCGACGTTACGAAGAAGCTCACAAGGATCCTCGCTCCGTTACACCGCTAGGTGAGGCTTCTGAGGCTTGGAGGAAAGTATCCAGATTGTTGCGATGAAGTCATGATACAGAAGGACGGAGATGCATCCCGAACGCTCGTCGTTGGACAATGATGATTGAGGGTGGTCAAGAGTTCCGGATCGGGAGAAGCGCCATCGTCCTCTCGCAGTAGAAGACCGACATCTCGCACCCTCGACTTCGAGAATATCGTGGTTTAGAACTCACGGGAACCTTGCCCCGACGAGGGAGGGTTTCGAATGACTCAGACTCAGAGAACACCCGCATCGAAGAGGCTCATCCACAATAGCAGAGAAGTGCATCCCTCCGAAATCTCTGTCTATCCTAGCTTCTGCCGTGAGGACCGTCGATTTTCGAAAAGAGAATCTGGACAGACCCCGCTGTTTCGAACGTCTCCGGAGAGAATTCCACCCTCAACGCCATAGCTCAGATGAGAGAGGGGTACGTGCCTACTTGGGACAATCTCTGATTTCTCCAAGGATTCTCTCTCGCTCGGAACGTCGTACGAAAAAGACTTACAATATTTTCACCGATACGACCGCCACTCTGAACGGTCATGACTCATGAGTCATGGGACACTCCCCGAGGAGGGCTGCATTCGGATGGACATCGTTGCTCCCGGAGCTCTCGGAAGAGATTCCGGCATAATTTCCGAATACTCCGAAGTCCAACTCCTACAGCTCTTGCTTCGGCTCCGGACTGGATTCCGGAGATTCGGACTCCAATTCGGGATTCCGCACTCTTCGCGCGCGTCGAACTCCACGCATACAATAGTTAGCTGGGGACGCAAACGTTGGCATACTGCGAAGAGGCGCATCCAAGGCCTTATTCAACAACGGCCTTAAACGCGGCGAGAGCAAGAGCGGCCCACTTGTCAGGGTGGAGCTTTCGATCTCTTGTCAATACGCCCGTCAGGCTGGCAGCTTATTTTCTGACTTCGACCTGGATGATATCGACTGAAACGAAATGGATACATATTTTACAGCGCTCAGGAGCGTAAGTCGTCGCGGTTTCTGAGAGGGGAAATGGAGTGATGGAATCCATGGAAGCGCGTTCTCCAGAGAGAGCTCCAAATGCTAATCTCACTCAATGCAAGGCATCCCTGCATATGGAGTTCAAGTCGCCCTGATCAGTCGACCGGCCATCGTTTCGGTCGCGGAACCGAATGCCGCAGAAGATCCCAAGAGAGGAAGGATGAGATCGAGGGGGTTAAATATCGAGCAGGACCTGAGTCTGAGAACAGTCTTGAAGCTCAGTGTCCCCACTGACTTCCCGTGATCAGCGGGAGAATCGCCCTCTGTCTACCCAACGGACCAGATACCCTCTCAACTCACGATGGCCTCCTTGAATCTAATTCATCGTGTATCCTTGTCGACACAGGCGTAGACGCATCAGAGCGGTATCGAGATATGACCCTGGCGTTTCAGACGCTCGTTCGGAGGAGTTTTTCCCGAAATTCCATACACAGGAACAGAAAAATCGAGACGATCCTGAGGGATGACAGCGCAAGTCTGCAGGCTTAGTAGTGAGTCCGACTCCGGAACGAATGGATCCTCGGCGGAGCATTGAGGAGCCTTGAGATTTCTCCACGGATCTCGACTGCGACGTCGTACCGGCATGAAAGTCGGTCCTGTTTTCCTCAGACAGCTGACGCGATGTCCGGACCCGGGATGGAGACAGCCTGATTCCTGGTGAATGGCGCGGATACCCCGAAAACCATATCCGGAATGGCTGTCGGAATGTCTGTTTCCCGGTTGGAAACAGGAATTCGAACTCGAGTGTGCAGTAGATAATTCCTGTTGGGGAACATCTCTTCAGCCAACCGCATACGACCGAGGCATTCCCTTTCTGGCGCAATTCCAGCTCTCCGAGGTCTTGGAAGTCGTCGGCACAAAGCACAATGAACGTCGGATATATGAATTCTGGATGCATGAGCAGGGAGCGCGCTTCCGGAACTCCGTGCATTTCATTCTCGCGACTGCCGATGGAAGCTTCCCGAGAGAACCTTCGCATCCATCAACGGTGCGATCGTTTCATTCATATCCACTATTACTGAGCTTTCCTTGAGTTCTGGAAGTGAATTCGCCGGCTGCCGTATACAGATCGGCAGTATCAACGTTTCGCCGGCTCCGAGAAATTTAAGTATTCAGATGAATGACATGTTTCCTGGCGTGGTGATGATATATTATGCTATCTCGGAGCGTCTCGTGTGGAGCAGGAATAGTCGAGCGGAAGGTTACGTCGCCCCAGTTGAAGCAATTGAGCGGCAGTCGGTTCGAGTGTCGTCATTGCAGATCATCTGCTTATTTCTGATAGCGTTCCCTCGGCTCCATGCCGGTGAGGTCCTGCCGCTTTAGTCAATGGGGAATGCGTCAACGAAAGCTTGAATGAACGTGTCGACGTAATCAGATTCACAGACGGCACTGATGCCGGAAGAGGGGTTACTCGAGATATTTACGAGCGAATCGATTCAGCCTACTCAAACAGCGAAACCTCGCCAATGGTGGACGATTGAATGAAAAAAATTTACAACCTCGCGTATCAAGCCGAGACTTATCGCAAAACTTCTCTGTAGCTGTTGTCGCCTAATTCGCGGATGTTTCTGGTTAGCGGGAACGAGGGATTAGTTTACGACCCGAGTTCAACAGTATCCAATCCCGTTGACGGCCCTGCGGGTTTCCCTCAAAACAACGATCGAAAAGCAACAACGCGCAATCTAAGGGGAGTTCCTGTGGGAGGAGAGTCTTGGAATGGAGATGAAATCCCGAGCCTCTATGCTTTCATTCAGTCCTATACTCTGGCAAACAGTAATCAGCCACCATTCGAATTCTAGTATCGAGGTCGAAAATCATCCAAGCGAGCTTCCGTGTTGAGGATCAGCTTCGACCCGTTTTCCGGAAAGGCGACAGGCTCGAGCGTAATAATTCACGTTCATTGGCTCTGATTGACCGACTGAAGCGGCATCCGAGATAGTGTACGCTTGCCTCGAATCTCAAGCTCTCGGGCGTCACCGGTAGGCTCGGGCTGCTTTTCCAGCCTCGCCCATACATGGGAAAAAACCGTTACTTGGTTCTCTCTCGTCAATCTTGCCTCGAATCCCCCGGCCATGAATCGCCAGATGTACTCGATCACGCCATGAGCGATAGAACTGATTTCACTCTAACATGCATTCCGCGTTACAAGATATGACTTGTTTCCCTCATTGGAGATCCACGTCAAAAATCGATTCCGTTGAACAATCAGTCCGAGACTTTGAGACTTGCAGCGGAAAATCGAATTGGGTGAAAGATTGAGACAGGATCACGAGCGGATGACAGGAAGAGGATTAGAAATTTTCTTGCGACCGAGATCATCGCGCCACGTCATAGACCACAAGCTCTGTCGACACAAGGCTACAGCTCATACTGCTGGCGGCTGGTAGGAACCCAACGTGCTGGAATGGCATCTGCATTGATCGCGCAGGAAAGAGCGCTCCCTCTTACCTCTGTAATTGTCGGTAGTGGCGGGCAGGCGGGCGGGCGGCGGTACCACTTTTAAAGGCGCTAAACGACTTCGACATTCGCTATTTAGGAGCAGAAATACGCTCGCTTCGTTCGCAAGCGCATCGGTCTCTACCCCTTCTGCTGCTGCGTGAGTGGCTCAGTGAGAGATCTTTCCAGCGGGCAGCCTGGAGAGTTCTCCTTCCGGAAAAAGCGGCACGCGATATCTCTTGCCTGCGCTTGGTTGTTGTGTCGATTCGCACGAGACGCTGCCGACTCGAGTCGGTCCGAACGTGAACTCATTTTTAGAACGAGATCAACGCCAACCCGGCTTCCATCATGTCGATGTGGTTTGTTGTGAGCATTCCGAAGACGGAGGGCAAAGGTGAGGATCATCCCGAAGCCTTTAGGTTAACTCTCACAATTAGTACAGAGGAATCATACAGAAGTTCGGGAGCTCTCTGAGTACATACTCCGTCGCTTTCGAAATTGGTGAAAAGCCAACGGGTCATTCACGTGGCTCGAATGATTCCGACTGAATTGAATGGCTCCTTTCTCGGCGACAACTCCATTCTTCCTGCCTTTGATCAGACCGGATCAAGGCACTCCATTATTTGAGGCTTTCTGTCGTTAACGGGGACCGTTCAACCGAAGAGAGCGCCACGCTTCTACCGACGAGCATAAGAGTCTGTCCGAACGTAGAGGACACGCGCACCTCTCTGTTGGGAAAAAACCGTCTCAACATGGCTGGTGGTCGTTGTTCCATAAGGCAAGGATAGATTTCAAGCCCAATGACGTGACCTCCATGGGGAGCAGGCGAGGTGTCCGGGGCCGACCCCAATTCTTGATTCCCGTTAAAAAATTGTCCATGTTCCAAATTATTTCAAAGTTTCCGAAGGGCGGATTGGATGAATCGAGTTCAGCTGCTTATACCAATCCCGTTGTGGCATCTCGATCACCGAAACGCGTTCGGATATTTCGTTTCCGAGATCAGGGCCGAGGAATCAGCATGGTCCCCCATCTCGCGCGGGTTGTCCCTTCTCTTATCATGGGGAAAAATTATTTCGGAGCCGGACGCTCGAATACGGCCAATATGCTGGTCGATATTATCTCGAAGGGAGTGGTCATTTGCGAAAATAAGTCTGGGTTCTCGTGTTCCATAATTCTCGGATTATCATTATCCATCCTTGTGAGACGATAGTCTTGGGGGAAGTGCCACGCACAATTTACTCGATCGCGGTAAGCCCTTCATTGTCTCAGGCTAGATTAGGACGAGTCTCTCGAAATTCCTGATTAAGGTGGATGCTATCGTCGAGTAACAATTGAGTTCCTCGCTGCGATCGGGGTGCGAACGATTCATAGATAGTCCTTTGGAATGATCTCGCTGTCTCCAGCGGATCATGGGATTATTCCCCGGACGTTCCACAGCCGTCGCTGCGATAGCAGAGATCGAACGTCGCTAAGAGAGCAGCCTAGTACATCCGCAGCTCTGTACCTAGCAGCCATGTCCCATGTCTCGCCCGCTTTCGGTGTGCTCGATCCGATTTTCAAGAGCTCATGGTTGACTAATGAGAATCAAGTGGCTTTGCAATTCTCCTTCTCAGAGGCAGTCAAAGAAGGGTGTGATTTCCGTGAATTCTTCCATCCGATTTCTGCGTAACTCGGAGACCTCCATCAGTAGCCCGAGATACACAATTACCGTCAATGCGATTCCCCTCAAAGAGCCAGATGAGACGGTTTCGGGGGCACTTGATTCCCTTTCGTCAATTCCGCTGCCCCTCCCCCCCGCCGATCGTGGGTTCTTCTTCTTCTTCGTGGGTTCTCTTCGGAATGCACCACAATCTCTCTTACCCATATTCGGTATTCAAGAATGGAGCGCCGAGCGACGGAGCTCACTCGGAGTTCTTCTGTTGATGAGCTGTTTCGGATTGGACGAATAGATCGCCGAATCGAAATCAGAGTTGTCGCTCATCGGAGCCTCCGGTTGAGAAGCATTCGGTGATTCTTTATCGAAGTCTCTCCACCCTTGGAGCCTCGAACCTGACCTCTCACAGAACTGGCTATTCTTGAGGAACTATCGGCGGGGCACAGCGCTCGGTCGGTCGGATAGGGTCGCTTCATCTTCCGGATATCGAATTCGGAGACCTATCCGCCGAGAATCAGCGATGATCATCCAGGAGAGTTTGACGTCTATCACCTGACGAGTTTCCAGCGTGCGCCCGATCGAGCCTGGGGCATCTTAGGGAGCAGAGTTTGTCGCCGATCCGGGCCGCGGCCTCACCAATTATCGACAATCCATTTCTTCGGCGCGAAAACTTGGGAATATGGATCTGCGGAAGCCTCGAAATCCTACTTCCTTGGAGAAGCGTCCGTAAATGTGTTCGAAAGTTGTTCCGTGGACCGTAATGATTGCGGAGGCGTGACAGCATCGACCTTGCGGCGGATGCATTCTTCGGTCGAAGTATATGTGATATCATGTATGAAAATGTTGTAACGTGACATGCACGGCTTTTAATGGAGCGGCCAACCTATCCCAGCTATCGCATCCAGCGTGGTTACCTTGTTGCATCCGTGGACAGGGTGTAGATATCTGATGCTATCAATGTTCATTCAGGGCATTTCCGCCCCTTCCTGAATTCTATTCATTTGTGGGGCGATGCACTTGACATCAGAACCGATCGCTGATCGTCACTGTCATCGAGTCCCACCGATCAGTCCGAGCCAGGGATTTATTTTCGGGAATCCGGGAGCACTCATTCGGAGATGCAAGGGAATTTCGGATGGGTTGAGCGAGACTCCAATCTCGAATAATTGCTGATGATTGAAGCGCTGCCGAAAAACATGTTCGGAAGATTCGACGAGCGGAACGAATCCGACTTCGTCTGCAATGGAGGAGTGCTACACCCATCATGCCGGTTGTGTAATGTGAGGCTGGGGACGGACTTACCGAAGATCCCAGTATTTTACGCGCGTGAAGCGACGCTCCATAAGCGTCACGTTCTCCGAAACAGAAAATCATCAATGCAAAAATGCTTAGCGTAAATATTCATCCACGGTTACTTCCGAATCTGACGTTATTTTTGAGAACCTAGTCCGCAGACAGAAGGCCTACAGCGGAAAATCTTTGATGTGCTGAGAGATCTGCGAGCGAAATCGGATTTCTCCCCTGAATATTTGCATGCATCGCGGAATTATTCGGGCTACCGGCACACCAGGATTGTGGCGTCGGGATGGGGCGATCTGCGTGCCGCCGCGATCACTCCTAGCTCCGCGAACTCCGAAGTTGAACTGTTCCCTTCCATTTTATCGGAAAACGACCCCCGTCTCAAGATGATATGAGCCTTCCTCCTTGCAGCACATCAGAAGATCGACAACAAATTCCGCCAGACTACCATACACTTCAATGAAACCAATCGGAACAATAACAACTTGAACAATAATAATAACAACAATAACGTTGTCGCCATAAGCCAGCATAAACAGGTGAGTGAATCACTGGTCGGGGCTCAGGGCTCTCGGGAGGAAGATTTCTGATCCATTATGGGATTACAAGCGACCCGAGCAGCTCCCTCGACTAAAAGCTCGTTGCCGCCTTCTGGATATCCTGATCGAGGATCCAATCGATCGCATCTTGCTTTGACATTTCCAGGCTCTCCGAGAAACTCTAGCTCATCTGGAAATCAAAGATGCCGTGTGGTGCACATCGCCCGCAGATGATTTCTATCAAGTTTATTTCGGAGTGGAAACTTCGGATGAGACTGACATGGTACTGCGACTCTTGACTGCCCGAGGGATCGGAACGGACGAGAGAAGCACCGTGGCGTGAGTACGAAAAGCCTGCTTTCAATGACGGAGCACCCTACATATCAAATCTGGATCGAGAAGGGAAGCTCTTTTCGATTCCCATCCGGCAGCTCCTCGCTGCACGCAACGACCATAAAACCTCTATTTATGATGTTCTATAAATCAGCTTACGTAGATAGCAAATTAGTCGGTGGTCGGGAAACAGAGCTCTGACTGAGAGAGGCTTCTTCCCTACCTCGAATTCGATTGCTTTCGAGCTTGTTCGTCAGGGCAGAAGCCACCACGCCACCACCCCTCAATGAGTTCTCAAATAGAATTGAGCGTGCCAGGAAGACTGCGCATCTCGGGCGCTCCGGAGAAAATTAATTCGCGCGCCAACAAGGACGCCGACTCTCAAATTGAGAGAGTAGTCGGATATTACACAAGGGAAGGCTTCATCACTCCTTTCTTCTCAGGTGTATGCCTTGTGCAATATTTTACCGCGGAGAGGGCGACAACTCGAAATTCATCGAAAACAACGATGACGTGTGAGTATATACACAGACAGCATGACCCCATCCGGTCAGGATTTCCGAGGTCGGCGTTGGAAGAGCTCAGTCTTCGGTTTCTAATCGAGCTCGAAACGGATGCGACTGGACTTGGATTTGTATCGGATTAGCGCTGTCTCCTCCTTCATATTTTCCGATCCCGATATAGACCGCGCGAGCGACAAAAGCGCTCCGTCCAGCCAGTAAAGATTGGCTGTATTGGAATCCAGTATCTATAGCAAATAGCCATAGTGTTAGCAAATGACAGCAAGCATGACTGGCGGCTTATCAATCGGTGGTTATGCGTTGCCACAAACGAAAGGAACGCCGATTTTAGTCACAGAACAAGAGACAATGTTGAATTATTCAGCATGTCGGCTGTCGACATAATTATTCGATGCCAAGCGTGTCCTTCCTCGGCCGGACGAGCGATGTAAACGTTACAGATATGAAGCGGAGATCTCCCCCGGCTGAAGCGGGATCATCGGCCAATCGTTGGTTCTGACTGATCGTGATGACGACCTTTTATCACTGCTTCGCTCCGTGTAGTCACTCAATTCCTAGACTATGGACACGAATCACAATCATTGAGCTGGACAGATATATCTCTTCCGGAAAGCTGTCAAATTCTCATGGGAAATTCGTAAGAGTCTACCTCACTATCTACCGCGAGAGCCTAGTACTGATACCGCAACTTCCTGCAATGATCCCTATTCACCAGCTCGCCTCTTCTGCTCCGGACGGCTGCATAGAATATCAGTTGTCCGATCAATGACTCTCAGTGGAATCTCTCATTCCCATTCTGGTCCCCGCGGACGCATGTTACAATCATGAATGAGCGCAAGATGCGAGGCTCCGTCGCAAATGATCGAAAAGAGAGCCGGGAACTCCACACTCGGAGTTAGGCGAGTACAATACGAAGCTCACGTATGGATTCGTCCTACAAAAATTCGGAACATACCGATAAAACCAAGATAGAATCTCCCGTGCCTACGCGGTCGGTTCGCAAGTCCGGAATGAGGACCTTCGTAATTTAAACTGAAAGTTATCGTAGTATAAATCATAGCCCACTGTCATTCTCACCAGGTTCGAGGAAAAGAAGAAAACTGGTTTCAAGAATGCTCAGGAGAAGTTTCTCAAGTCCGTGACCGCTCGCCTCACAGTCGCTCAGGTGAGTTCCAACTCGTCGTTTCCGGGAATTCGATGCGTGGACGCTCGGACGACGTGACTCGACTCTCGCAGGTGTACGAGCACACGCTTCGGAAAAGCGGAGATTGGGTTGCCTCGATATCAGTGATTACCGGTGGTGGATATTCAATGTTTTTCAGGTGGTCGAAGGTGTCCGAGCCGCTGGAGAGTTGAATTTCGATTTCGTCGCCCTGATCCTCCTCGCCGGGATGATCGCAGCTCTGGGATTGATGGATAACTCTGTGGTTTCCATCATTGCTGCCATGCTGGTGTCCCCGCTCATGGTGAGCTTTCGAGAAACATTTCCTCTCATGTACCTCATATCGGTCTATGCCCCTCCGCTTCCCGTTAGATCGTCATCAAGGTTCCTCTAAAATTCTTCACAGGGTCCGATTATGGCGATAACTTTCGGGATCATCATTCATGATTACAAGCTCGTCAGGACAGGGCTGAAAACCGAGCTCGTCGGGCTATTGCTCTGCCTGAGTTTCGGCTTTTGCTTCGGCATAACAATGGCTTACTTTGGGGACGAGCGAGGCGCCCTCGCCTGGGGTCCGAACACTTGGCCCAATTCCGAACAGAGCGCTAGGTGAAGGAACCGTATGCGAGGCTTGCGACTGGCTGTCCCTCATGTTGAATACGATACAAACACAAAAAATGACAGCAATAACCTCCAAAACTCTACGGGAGCCCATCCGCTGAAAATTGGGCATCCTTCTTCCAGAGGTCAATGGAGATCCCTGTGGGTGGGTGCATTAGTCGCGCTGCCATCCGGAGGAGGTGTTGCGATGGCGATCTTGGGCGGAAACTCGGCTTGTCTTGTAGGAGTAGCTATTTCCGCTTCGCTCCTACCACCGTCAATTAATTGCGTAGGTCATCCGGAAGCTCTTGTCAGCTCAGCATAGCGACTCTGAATTCTCCCCTCAGGAGAAACCCCGTTTCCAGTACCTGTATAATGTAACAACACATGTACATGAGATTCTGAGGCGCGAATCTCCTTTTCATTTTTCAGGGGACGTTGTGGTCCTTGGCGCTGATGAAAGTGATAAAAGCGTCGGCGCAAGAACCGATCACGGTGAGTGAGAGAATATCGTTGATCCAGGTTCTGGACGGTTCCTCGAGCGTTGAGATGCGTAGCCATCGGGCTAACCTGAACCTCGCTATCTCGGTTTCCCTCGCTCGGGGACGGAGGCATTCTCGCGGACCTTGCCGGATCTATCGAAGTAGATTCTTGGGCGAGCGCCCCCGTCACAACACATTCGCAGGCGAAATCTCCGCCGAAGTCCTCGAATGAGCCGTTCCCGATCGTCATCGAAACCGTCATGCGAGTCTGGGCGTCGAATTGCGGATTATTGATCGATTCCTTCCCGTTTTTCTAATTCAAGATGCTGGTGACGCTCCCGCGAACGAATATTACGGTCGAACGGGTAACTTACCCGGCGTTCAAAGCTCATCCAGGATTCGAGGCGTATTATTTCGACAATGCCAACATGCACAAGGAGTGTGCCGTCATGGCCATAATTTCCTTCTGTTTGACTCTAGTCAACATCATGTGCATCATCATCGCCGGCTCATTATTTCTGAAGGTGCGTTAGTGATCCTTAGGCCCGGTTCCACCCAAGACTCGACTTCCACCGCAGTGACCGGTCGGCTGCAGGATCCAATACTTCGTGCCATATCGTGGAGTTGGGGTCCGACTGTTTTCGATTATATCCATAACGGAGGGGCAAGGGCCGGAGTACTGTGATCCCCGAGCCTAGAAATCCCGGAGGGCTGCGGACGAGCATCCTTGGTGAATTCTTGAAGTTGGGCTTTCTGGACGAGGAAGAATCAATTTTCCAGATCAAAGAAGTCGCTCCAGAGAAGTCGCTACCAGACACCGAACGTTTCTGGAAGCATGATATCAGAGTCGCCCGGGAATACAACCGGAGGAACACCACGTTCGGATCATCCGGCGACATGGCTCAAACCGTGTTGTCGGAATGGGCGGTGGGTTTTGAGAGTGACAGCAATATGCGGTTTTTCTTGTCGTATTTCGAATACCGGACAGGACCTTCATGGGACTGGAATAATCGTTTCAGACGGTGGCTGGCATTGATCCCAAGCTCATGAGCTCCGATGATCCGAAAGCTCGCTTGTCTCAGCTACAAACGCTACAGGATATCCTCATGGTGAGTTGATAAGATTTCGGGACTCCTGATTCGTGGACCGGGGCCTACGCCGACTGAGACCCGGTGCTCATTTCTATAGGGACGAGCCCGCGATTCCGATATTGCTCCGGATGCGGAGAAAATTCGCTGGTCAACGAGCTATCGTTGTTCTGCTGCATACCTAAGAAATGGATTGCCTTCCAGGATGCGGAGGATGACGATGTCTTCCAGACTGTGACCAACAAAATGGGCAACATGGGTGGCGGAGATCCAGTGAGAAGATTGTCGAGAGCAGTGCTACCTCAACTCCCGCGATCTTCCCAGAGCGATACTGTGCACTCTACGGGCGGCTACGAGAGGCGACCCAGCATACTTGTCGGTAACATGCTGCAAGGGTATGGCAGACGAATGAGTCGCATGGATAACGCTTGCTACGTGAGTAGATATACAATTTTTGACCCCACATCAGAAGACAATAATCAGACCAATCAGATTCTCACGCACCGAGACCACCATTCCGGAAAAAAGTGACGCAATCTCGATTTACAGACGAACCCGGAGTTCGCAACAAGGACGTCAGAGCCGCCTATCCCACTTCAAGACCGACGAAGATCGTCCGTCGCCAGAACCATAAACTTGAGTCATTGGCCGACCCAATCCCAACAACAGCGGCCCCAATCCGAAGGTGACGGGCGAAGCCGTTTGGGCACACACCGGAGTGTGCCTCCGGTGCGGGAAGAAGATTCAGATGTCTACAGCCATATTTGAGTGCAGCCGGGAACGCTCCCCTCGATGTGACGACACCCGATCTCCTCCTGGTCCCAGAATGATCGAAACATGCCAGCAACACCCTCGTTCTCGAAAAAGTTCCGCGCGTATTCATCCCGGACGCCGGAGTGTGAGCTGAAGGAACGAAGTAACTCTTCCAAATCCACGAATCGCTCAACATCCCGCTCCCTACCGCTCGGATAATCAAATTTGATACGCGAGATCCGATTTGCGTTTCATCAATCACGAAGCTTCACTTGTGCCTTAACATGTGTGGTCGTGTACTCTCCTAGAATATGTACATCATGCGATTCTGAAAAAACGGCCTACTCGATCTTTGGGAGAGTGTCTCCGGCGACGTCCGGGAGCAATCAATTATTCAAACGTAAACTGCCCGAACATCCGTATACACATAGCGGAGAGTCTGAGCCTTCGCAAGCATTTCAATCGTTTCTTGATGAAAACCAACGATACCATTTTAGACCTGAGAAACTGTACATTTCTGATCATCTTATCCTAATAAATTTGCCATCCATTCGTTCTAAGCTGGGAGATTGGAGATTTGCATCAGTACCTATTTTCCCCGAAGAGCCGCTTCATTCAAGAGGGTTGCCTCATCGGAGCTCCCATGTCTTACAAATTGAGGATATTCCGCTGTCGCCGCTATCCTCCGGCAAAATCATACGACATGAATTGGTTCACCCTCCTAATCATGAACCTCCTCACTTGGCCACTCTTAGCGCCGGGCTCAGACCAGGAAGCTAGCATGTGGACCCCAGCTCTCATCCAGTGATCAGGAGTTTAATTGACTCCGGAGGACAGAACTCCCGCTATCTCATCTACAGCTCACCGATTTCCCTCTATCACCGCGAAATCGTTGAAAATAGCAGAAAGATTGTCGACAAGGGAAATACTGGCTCGACGACGATTTCCGCTGCCCGTAGGGACAATGACTCGCACCCATTGTCACTCCTCTGCTTTACCACCTGAGTAGCACCTCGGAGCAACTCTCAAAGGTCGTCCAATCAGGAGGAGCAGAACATTTTCNGGGAGGCGCTCGTGACAGGAGAATAGGCTTTCAATTCGAGGCGAAAAAAGATTATCCATGATATTGGCGGGGCTCCAGACCCCCTCCTTGCACTCCCGGGTCAGTTCGAGCTCTTCTAGAGTCGTTGCACGCTTGTGGGAATCCCCTCTGTAGAATGGGCACGAACCGCAACGAGGTTATGGTTGAAGAGGTGACGCCCGCACGTGTCTTTCGTCCGAGAGGCCGCGATGGAGTCGAAGTACCTTCCCCGACTCTCGTCGTCACGACTCGTCTCCTCTGAAATTAGGGGATATGCCAGTCGCGCAAGCGGGCAATGGAAAATTCCCTCCAAGCTGCGGAAAAATGAGTTTAATGCGCGGTGCGCGGACACACTCTCGGAGATACGGCGGAGTTGATCTCGGTGCTCTATTGATGATCGATAAAATCGATACCCGTTGCTTGAAAAGCTATGGATGTCAATAAGGAGCCGGAGTCACACGAAGGTCCGCTCCTAGGCCGCGGGCTCAGCAGCACGAGGCTGATACTGAGTCCTCGTCGGAGAGCCCGAAAAAGAAGAAGAAGTCGGCACCGGGATTCTCTCGGAGCTTTGTTTACAATCCAGACTCGCTGTTGGCCGATCAACGAGGTAGTCTTGCTCATGCACGCTCCCTTCCACCCTCCCACACCCGAACTGCGCGCGGCGATAGCACCAACCTTAGCGGCTACAATCTTCTTCCACGAAAAGAAGAATGTCTCTTTCTCTTGAGAAAGTGACGGGCGATGAGAGCGACCCCTGGCGCCATACGAGACGGGCATAGGGCTTGTGTGCTGTGATTGGTCGTGGAGCATACACCGCACGTCCGGACCCTTGACAGAAGGTACGTGTTTTTTCAGTTCGCCCTTATCTGTCATTCCACAGACGCGCGGAGTGTCCTTAAAATTCAGGCGTCTGAATTATTTTCACTGAATTCGGCACGAATATCATCCGAGGCGCGGTTTTCTGTAGGCAAAATCCATCTCGACAATTATCTCGGAAAGTGATTTAGAAATCGATCATCAGTTTCCAAGCGGTCGGGAAGCCTGTGTCAGCAGGAGCCAAAGCACCTAGTGCGTTTTCATTATCACATTCGGAGAGATGCTCGTGCTTGATTTCTGAGCTCATCGTAGGGCTCTATCCTATCTGGAGTTCATATTCTCTTAGCTGAGAGAGTTATCCTCGTGGAAGATAGGCGAGCAGTGGCCCCTCCGGCCTCTCTGCGGGAATCGCTTGAAATACTGCGGCTGGAAAGGCGACTGGAAAGACTGCCGGAGGTCTCTTGCTTCCTACCTCTCGGCTCTCTGTGAGCCGAGTTTCAGACTCGATCTTGTTCCAACACGGACCTCCACCCGGTCCCAGCCAGCTCAGATGGCGGACTCGATGCGAAACCGGTCCCGACGTCCCATTCTACAGCTTTTTACTGCAGCCTACCGTGGCTCTCCCGAAGTGTTCGATCCGATTAGGAGCAGACTGTGAGACGGAGTTTGGACGTATTTGTGCGAGGGTTCGAGTACGGAATCTCTGTTCTGAGTCCAACCCTACCGTCCAGCTGAGAGCGCGAGTGAAACATCTGAACAGTCTGATCGGAACGGTGGTTCCCGTATGCTCGGCCATCGTGTCTGATTCAAAAGTATCTGGAGCTGGGTCCATGAAAGGAACGCGCGCGCTATCACCCACGCGTTTTCTGACTGTTGTAGAACCCATATAAGGAAGCGAAGTCAGCTTGATGCTTCGACGTCTTTCGCCTGCCGTACCGTTAAAATCGAAGCTAATGACGGAGAGTAGATCGAGTCTGAGAATCCTCCGTCCCCGATGAATTTCCTCGATCGGAGAGAGCCTCTTTGGCTTTTGGAACCTCCGGACACCTAGGCTCGACTGCTCACGGATCCCCGAACTCTGGGATCATTGCCGAGCCCCGAGAAAACCGGTATCTGTCGAGATCCTCTGGCGAAAGGACCGAAAATCCACTCCCGATGCACCTGCAGAAATCGAGATCCGAAACAGGGGATGGAACGTCAACTTTGTAACTTCGAGCGCCCGCTCACATGTTCGGTAAACGGCGAGAATTCCGTGGGATAGTCGAGTTCCCCCCGCCGCTCGAGGGTATGGCTCGAGAGTCCGACCCAGGGTCATGGGAGCACTCCGGATAGCTCCACCATGATCTGAGCAAGTGCTTTTCGAAACTAGTAGCATGAACTATGTAGCCGTCTCCTTTTGGGGGATTATTTCGGTTTTTTTCTGCGGGCCGGTCATTCTTCCGTGGTCATCAGTTCAGAACAATCAGCTTATGGAGAGTTGGAGAGTAAACATGGGAACGGGGGCTCGGATACCAGAGCCGAGTACATCGCGCGGTATAATCTGTTCATAATCGCGCTCGCTTCAGGACTAGACTGTTCGCGGTGCTTCTACGTCTCGCTCAGAGATCCGTTTCGACCCCCCTCGTCGACCGCGGCATTTTGCTCAGCCTTCAACCAAGTCCGAGAGAAAGTTCTAACGGAGAGAAGTGTCTTCAACTATACAGATCGAATGATCACTGAGCCCATAAAAGGAGGAGTTAGTTCTCCTTCTATCTATCTATCGAAGCGTGGGAGAACTTCAGTTGGTCAGCTCTGAGAGGACCGGCCACGGCACAGGGACCGGATTCATCGATCGCTTCCGTTCGGTCACCGTGAGAAAAAAATCTCGGGTGGCCTTCCGCCGATCCGCTCGCGATCGAGAGCTCACACCGCTTATTGAGAGGAAAGGAACATAGTTCGTGCAGTATTGGAAGAACAGTTCCAAGACGACCGTCTATCTCTTCCATGCCAAACGTCTACGGAGTTCGCAGACACTGATTAAGCGCTCGCAATACTCATACCGATTCAGGAACAAATCAAGAGAACCTGAGGCGATAGCAGAATTCTTGCTTGATCGTGATAAGACTGAGAGAATCCAGTCTTCCTCGGGTGCAACTTTGTTGCAAAAGGAGTGAAACTCTGAATCCAAATGTCATCCGGAGGAGGTTTAAGAATATCTCAATACAGGTCCAGAGGGAGACTGGTACCCGTCTTTTCTCGCTTCCGAGCGAAGGAATACTCAGAATCCACGGACAGTCCGAATCTATGATATATGCCCAACTTCGATTCTGGCTCATCAAGGGCTCACTTCGGTGCTATGTCGGATTTTAAAGGAATTTTCTCCCCGGGAGGGAAGGATCTGCGCGGGTACCGACTCGGGGCGTCTTCTCTTGATTTCCGCCAGAGAGTTCCTTGGTGGAACGATTCGCTCGTGCCTTAGGTTGAGAGAGCGGCGCCGGCGTTTTCCGAAAGCGCCGAGAGGAGAATCTATTTATGGGATAGCCTTATGGCACCCCACACAGCTTAGGCGTCTCGAGAATGCGACCATTTTGGATATTCTCAGCGCCACGAGGGTGGAAAGAAGTCCTGTGATAAGGAGCTTGACGCGATTCTGCGGTTGAGATTATTTGCACCGGCTCACTAATGGTAATTCCTGTATATTTTCGGATCCGCGGGATCCTTCATCTCGAGCCGTACCGGTAGCAAAGTTCTAGAGCCGAAGCTTGATTCCCCCAAAATGCGAATATGTCCGACAGTCCTCGTACGCGAACGCTTTCTTAGTCATGCTTTGCTCAAAGCAGCATATGACCTTTGCTTATCTCCAGGAAGTCCAACAAGCGGTGAACGGGCTCGCTCTTTTCGCTGAGATTGGAGGGACTGGTATACTGGAAACTCTCAATGAACTCATGCGAACCTCACACATAGGAAGACCCATGTGATTACCGTTTCAGTTCTTCGTCTCATTCTTCCGTGTAAGTTATATCAGGACGTTCGCTTGGAATATGAGGTATGATGCGATCCCGGCCTTACGAGCGTGCACGCGCATGCCTCGCGGCCGAGAGCATCCCGCGGAATGAACGCGGGCTGTTAACGCCGGTCCGTATCTGCCTCGGAGGCTTGGAGGAAGGAATGTTTCTCTGATGAGCCCGTCTTTTACTTCCAGAGTTCCGTTGGACCGCGCTCCACCGTCGGATTGAACTGGAGCGGGGTTCGACAAGATCTTAACCACGACCATGGTTGTTTCGATAAGGACCCGACTGGGGTTCTTCGTAATCACAGTGAGCATCCTCGTAACAACAGTGAATCCGCAGTCCACAGAACGTGAGTACCAGGGAATAAGTTTCCTGATCGCCTAGCTGCATTAGGAAGAAGCTCGAAATACGTTGCTTCAACAGCGCCATTACTCAACACGAGCAAAACTCTTCACGGCTGTTTCAGAGAACGGTCAGAGAGACCGTTGGCAACAAGTCTCGCGGCAGTCTAGAACACAGATAAGAGGTAGGTTCTATGCTCAGTCAGTCCTGCAAGTCTGAGAGGAGCTTCTTGCAGAAGATTTTACGCCGTCTTGGAAGTAGGCACGATCCGCTTGTAAACCGCACGCATTGCTTTTCGGATTGTTCATCCGAGTAGTGTAGTTTCGGATAATGTCAGCATCGTAGTGAGAGCTAAACCACGACTAACGGTCCACCTAGAGCTAACACTTTGACGAGAGAGGGACCTGGTTCAGGTGTGAGGACTCAATAAATTCCCTCGCAGCTCCACCGCGGGGTCGTCGCTGTTTTGCCTCGAAATGTCGTGAAATTAGTTCTCGCAACACTGGGATGCTGGGGGTGCAGCTCTATTGCGCAGCCTGTTTCGGTAAAATAATTCTCGCGCTGCTCGCAGTGCAATCTCCGGAGCTTCGCTCCCCCATTCGAGGGGGTGTAGTGACCGCTAGCGGGCATTCTCGGGATATATCTCTATATTCTAACATTAAGCACAGCTTCTCTCATTTGATCTCGGGCGGAATGAAGAAATTGCAGGTAAATCATATTCAATAATTCATTGAATAGAATCTATAAACGAAATTCGGTAGCTCTCCGTGAGGGGAATGCTGGACGATTCAATTAAACATCAAGCTATTAATAACACGCGGCTCGGAAGCGAACGCAGCCAGCGACTCGACTCGAACTCATCACAATTAGTCCAATCCAGAGCCGCGGCAGTACTACACCTCCCAGAAGACGGTTTCGCCGGGAGCTTCGGGCGCAGATGTGGAATATTTCCCCGGAACCTATAGGAGGACGACTACCACGCACAACTACGGTGCTCCGAGACCGGCCATCAGCGAACATTCCTACACCCAGAGGTAGGATGCTTTAGTGTCGAGGAAACGGGCCGGCGACAATCGAGCGGAGCGGCAGACTTTAACTAAGAGCCCATCTGACTCCACAGGCAGAGCGGACCCATCAGAACGACGATTGAACACAGCTATTCAAATCGTAAAGTCTCTTCTTCTTACGGCAATGTGGATAGTCGATGGAGAGAATTCGTCGATGCTGCCCTTGAAGGCAGAAATTATGGTAGGGTAAACACTGAAGAGAAAATTCTGGTGAAGGGTCGGTGGAGGTTGAGCATATTAAACACGGTCTCAAGGTACGTCGTATGGGTACGAGGGAGGCGCAGAAGTCGACAATGATGATGTCGAACCGAGTAGAAACCGAATCCCCCTCGCTTTGCATGGTAACGCATGTCTAGTTTGCCGGGTTGAGCATGGGAGAAGTCGGAGAAGGTCTGCTCCGTGGAAAAAACTTATAATCCTTTCCTGATGTTCGCAGCGGGTACGAAAGATGCTTGCTCGGAGAATGGACCTTGTTTCCCACCTATGGGCGATTTGATGATAGGCAGAGATAAGATGTTGGTGGCGAGTTCGACATGCACGGACAACCAGAACTACTGCGATCATGATGTTTCCAATTCCACGAGAGCCGATGGACCCGGAGTTTGTCGCCAAACGTGTTCTAGCGATCCCTATGCTCCGTAAGTACGCACGGATTCCGTTCTTGTCAGCGTCTGGACTTGTATGCATATTTTCCGCATTCTCGAAGATCCCTGCACTTATGTTCGCTCGACGTTTCTGCCATCAGAAATTACTTCGGAATCGAGAATATCATCAAACAGAGCACGGCACAGCAGATGAGCAAACGGTGGCAGTCGGCGCCGGGCGTAGAAGAGGTTTCGGTCACGCTCAATTTGGAATCCGAGTTCCAATTCACCCATTTGCTCATGACGTTTCACACCTTCCGACCGAAAGTCATGATCATAGAGAAGTATGATTTCTTTTCCCCCTCTCCTGTTAGAAAAGTCTTCCGAATCTTCTGAGAGGAATGATCATCTGATTCAATAATCCAATCCAACAGATCAATCGACTTTGGGAAAACTTTCAAGGAGATCGCGTATTTCGCGCATGACTGCAATAAGGTGTTCCCGGCGGTACCCCGAGGGCCTAAACGCAGGCTGACGGACGTAGTTTGCGAGGAACGGTACTCACAGCTCATTCCGAGGCAAAATGGAAAAGTACTCTTCTCGAACCTCGTGCCCAGAGAAGAAGCTCTGAAGCATTCCAACCTACGTGAGCTGGATGAACTCCTTCGGCTCACCAACATACGCTTCAGATTCCTCCAGCTTCACAAGCTCGGGGACGACGCCATCGGAGACAGTGAAGCTCTCAAGCAGAAATATTACTATTCGATTCGTAGTTTGATTGTTCGAGGAACGTGCTCGTGTTACGGCCATGCCGGGAACTGTCTGGCGGCGAGTAACGATACCAGGGTTCCGAACATGGTCTACAGCAAATGCCAATGCGAACACAACACCGTCGGGGACCATTGCGATCAATGTCATCCGCTCTACAAAGACGTTAAATGGCAGCGAGCCTCGAAGGATTTCTCTACCTGCAAAAGTGAGTGAGCGCCGTGCCCATTTCTTCTCTTGACGGCTTCGGGCTCCGTTTAGGGGAAGCAGACTCAGTCGGAATATCAAGCTCACAGTAGAGTATCGAGGAAAGTACGATAAACGACAAAGGAAACTTTTTGTGATCCAGAATGCGACTGCAATAACTTCTCGGACGAGTGCGTTTTCGATGAGGAGATATATTTGAAGAACGGGAAGAAGTCTGGGGGGCGCTGCATAAACTGTCGCGACCATACAGCCGGAAACAACTGCGAGCTCTGCGAGGATTTCTACTATCGTAATCCTCAGGGGTACGTTGCTTTCATTCTCGATGGCCAGACCCTGGCTACTCGGGAGTCCCGCGTTTTAGGGAACTGCCGTTCCCCCAAGCCCCCAAGTCTTGACGAGACTCCGTTCTCGTTTTGATCAGGGCCCCAATGTGAAAAGTCCCTCACGAGCGAGGGTTCATGGATCGATGCAGGCACCGTATGTTGGTTCGCGGAGCGGCTAGAAATGAGTTGTCCAAAATACTTACAGGGTCTACGGTGAGGTTTGTCGCCGCTGTGAATGCAACCAGAGAGGATCTCAAAACGAGGGTCGCTGTATCCAGTACGACACCGAGACGCAGATCGCTGGTCGCTGCGTGTGCAAGGGCAATGTTCAAGGACCAAGGTGCGACTCGTGTAAACCGGGTTTCTGGAATCTCGACACGAACAACGAAGAAGGCTGCGAAGGTAAGGCCTCTTGCGCCACGTCCATGCATTGACGCAGTTTTCCCGAGCTCCTCTGGCTCGTTTCGAGACGATCTTCCCGAGCCTTACTTTCCGCTTGGAGGCTCCAACTGAATGCTCTTTTTTCCCAGTCTGCAAATGCGACAGAAGAGGAATCATCATGGGCAGTCAAGGTTGCAACCAAGAGACCGGGAAGTGTTCTTGCAAAGAGAATGTCGTGGGACAATCTTGCGACGCTTGTGAAGAGGGTCATTACGGACTCGAGGAAGGTCCCAACGGATGCAAGCCCTGCGACTGCGATCGTGGTGGCGCTTACAACCCGGATAAATGCAACGTTGTCACCGGCCAATGCGAATGTAAAGAGGGTGTCGAGGGTCGGCGATGCGACCAGGTGAAAGATGGATACTTCGTCCCGCTGCCAGATTACATCATGCACGAAGCTGAGATACCTGTGGAGCAGAGGGTAAAATTCCTTCCGATTCCGTCTCCATCCTGACATTGAACTCCATGAGCTCGTCTGCCCACCCCACAACTTTCCGAATTGTGTGAAGTCACCGACTCGCACAGAACAGTCTCAAACGGGTTTCGTTCCATATCCAGAACACGAAGGTCGTGATGCGTCCCCACAACGCGCAGAGCAACATGCGAGACTTCACTGGCGTGGGTTTCATGGATTTGGGACTGACCGGCATGATTGAGCTGAAGTTCCCGGTAATTCCATGGACGGGCTACTACAGCATAGCGATTCGTGGGGAATCCCGTTCCCATGTCCAAGAACTCGAGATAACCCTGCTGAGGGACAATCGTCTCTCGGCGGACGGTCAATGTCGAGGCGAGCCCGAGGAGCCGAGAGAGGTCATCAATCTGCAAACTCGGTAAGAGCGGAGAGCGACCAGATGAGCATTTCCGGAACGCTGTGCTTGAGAGCGGGGCTTCCGTGTCGGCCTGGAATGAACCAACATTCCTTTCCAGCAATTCCGTTCCGGTCATGAGGGTATGTCTGGAAAAGGACACGGGAGTCACCGTCCGAGTGGAGGCGATGTCCACGAGTGAAGCGCAGATCCTGGTGGATTCGGTCGTGCTTCAGCCGGATTACAAAACACTAGACGTTTATCCCCGATTCATGCCGATGGGTCACGTGGAGTATTGTGTCACCCACGTAGAGCGCTACGGAACGGCAAACTTGAACGAGGTTTGTCCGAAGCTCCTCTTCTCAGGAGGCCTGGCGATTTGGAACCGAGCATTCAAATGCGAATGCGGTATCGGAAGCTCGAGCAACGTTTGCGAGCGAATCGGGGGCCAATGCAAATGCAAAATGAACGTTGTCGGCAGACAGTGTGACGCTTGCGATACGACATCTTACGGATTGGAAACGGAGGCTGAATGCAAAGGTCGGTGCTGTATGCCATCGAACCAGATGGCGCGCGGCGCGAATCTGGCCGTCCTCGATCCTAGACTCGAGAGATTCAGAGGCTGGACGCTCACGGCCGTGTTGTCTAATTTCAGCCTGCAACTGCAACACCGAAGGCTCGAAGAACCAGTTCTGTAACTCTCGCGGAAAATGCGACTGCATTGACGAAGTCTACGGGGAGAAGTGCGATATGTGCAAGCCCGGTTTCTGGGGAACTCCGAGATACTGCAAGCCGTGCCAGTGCCACGGCAGGGCGGATACTTGCTTCTCTCAGAACGCAACGTGCATCGACTGTCGCGACAACACGGCAGGCGACACCTGCGAGAAGTGTCTCGAGGGCTTTTACGGAGACCCACTTCGAGGGATTCCTTGCAAGTCGTGCCTGTGTCCTGGAACCGCGGCCTCGGGTCGCAACCACGCCACGTCCTGCACCTTGTCCAGGTAATTGGGCCCTTTAGAAAACCCATCTCGGGATTCCGTCCTCGGACGCGCTTGGTCAAAGTCGTCGTCCGCATTAGACTTGATTCTGAAATCCCGGAGACCGACAGAAAACGTGCAACGTCAACGCCTCATATTTATTCATATAATGTATAATTTATTGGCAATATAATATATAATTATTATAAGTATAGTACACATAACTTATGTAAATGGCTGATACAAGATATAATTATCATAAGTATAATTCATATGATTCATGTAAATGCTATATATAATGTAAATTAAATTATGACTGTAATATATAACTAATTTAATATAATTTTTTCTTCATATTTACTCCATGATATTAATATATGATTTCATTCCAGCTCCAACGAGATGTTCTGTCATTGCAAACCTGGGTACAAAACCCCAAAATGCGAGGAATGTGACAACAACTATTTCCAAGACAAAGATGGCTGTATTCCCTGCGACTGTAATGGGAAGATCGACTTGAGTCTCGAAGGCAACTGCGACGCGCTGACCGGGAAATGTCTTCGCTGTCTGCACAATTCCGAGGGAGATCAATGTGAATTGTGCAAGCAAGGGCATTGGAAGAACAGTAACAACGAGTGAGTTCACGAAAAGTGTTTTTCCGAGCGTGATTCAAAGGTCTACCGAGTTGACGGAGGGCTTGCTGCGGCCGACCGGGCTTATCACGGTGCCATCGCTTCCAGCTGCCAAGAATGTGATTGCGACTCCACCGGTTCCGTCGATTCCTATTGCAATCAAGATAACGGAAAATGTACCTGTCATCCGAATGTCGTCGGAGATCGATGCAGCGCGTGCGCTGAAGGATTCTACGATTTCCATTCCGGAAAGGGTTGCAAGCCTTGCAATTGTGATGTTCACGGAACGGTGGAGGGAAGCGTCACTTGCGGTCACGATGGGCAATGTTACTGTAAACCAGGCCGGGGAGGCCTCCAGTGCAACGAGTGTTCTCCCGGATTCTACGGTGACCCAGCGTCCGGATGCTACCGTGAGTATACACCATGAGCGTTTCATGAGGAAACAGAGCGAGATCAGGCCGATCGAGACGACTGAAGACGACGACTACGAGGCCCGGATCCACAGACAGATCATCCAACACGAACATATATTCTAGGCTGTGACTGTGACGGTTACCAAGGAGCGATAAAAGGAGTTTGCGACGCTCGGACTGGACATTGCAAGTGCCGCGAAGGCATGGCGGGACCACGATGCGACCAATGCGCCCGAGGTTTCAAGGGCAAAGCGCCCTCGTGCGAACCGTGCGATCCGTGTTTCGCTGATTGGGACAGAGTAATCCAAGAACTGGATGAACGCACAAAGAATCTCACTGAAACGGCAAGGTAGGGAAGAAAGACGTTCGGGAAGGCTCGCGTGAAATCTTTCGAGGTGCCCCTGACTGAGCAGGAGAATCCGTCCGTTGCAGACTTATCAAACAAACTGGCACCTCTGGAATCCATCGAGAGTTCAAGGAGATCGAGGGCTACTTGTCCCAAATCAAAGAGATACTGGCTAAAGCGAACATCCCAGGATTGGATCTCTCCCAGAGACAGAGTCTTCTAGATCAGCTCAAACGCATGCTCGAAACCATCGAAGGGAAGCTGGCTGCTGCCGAGGTTCGTAAATCCGCCACCCGCTCTGGATTCTGACTGGCGCATCCGACTGATTTGAAATCTGTGTAGCATGCTGATCCTCGCTGTTTCCAGACAAAACATTCGGCATTGGCCGCCGAAACCCTGGGCCTCGTTGCCGGCGCCGCGAAACTCGACGATGATATCGATGATCTGAAAGAAAAGGTCAAGAAACTCGAGGAAGACATGACCTCGCTCCGGGAGCAGGACGTCATGGGTGCTTTCAATCTGATCAAAGAGAATCTCGACCGGGCGAAACAGTCGAAAGAAAAGGTGAGCCGATTCGGGATCTGCCGCTCAAGTCCGACTCGGCAATCGATCTGAAGATCTTTGTACCCGTTCGATTGAAATCGACGGAGTCGTTCACGGTTCGAGACGAGATTCAGTGAATCCCGTATTCAAGTGCGGCTTTTTATTTATTTTAGAGCAAAGTTGTTCGTATAATCATGGACAACAGCACCGCGCTGAGGAGCGAGGCTTCTCACCTTTTGGATCGGAAGCAATCGGCCTTCAAGGACGTTTACAACCTCAACGAAGATCTGATGAAAGAACTCGATAACGACATCTTGAATCTCGAACGCGCTGTGCCGGAGATCAACCGTCACGTGAGTCCCTTGCTCGACCGCTGAGTCGAGGAATCGAGCTTCGAAACTGGGGGATCCCCGGAAAAATCGGATTAGTCTCGAGTGATGAGAGTTCTCCGTCTCGATTCCAGCTTTGCGACAGCGAGACATCCGTGGACGGCTGTAAGGATAAGTGCGGCGGCATCGGCTGCGACGAATGCGGGGAGAACATCAGTTGTGGTAAGGCGGCCGTCCGCCAAGCGAAGAACGCTTTGGACATGGCCAAAGAATTGGAGGGAATTCTCCAGGCGAAACAGTCGAAGGCCGGGACAATGCGAGACAACGTCGAAGAAGCGCGTACTTCAGCCAATCGCGCTCATAGCGTGAGTTTCTCTTTGCGTTCAACGTGAGCTTCTGTGAGTTTTTCCGTGGGCTCGAACAGTCCGGTTCACGTCGGTGCACACCGTTTCCAGAAAGCTCTAGAGGCCCACAAGGCTGTCATCGACGCCCATAACGACGCATCGAAATCGCTGGACGACCTGAGGAAGCTTCTCGAAGAGATTGAAACCTTGCTCAAGAAGGCGGTTGGGACTCCGCAAGACATCCGGAAGATCGCTACGGACTGCATGGAGCTGAGAGTTCAACTGACGCCTCAACAAATCGAGGAATTGTCCGCGCAGATCGTGTCCGCCATCCAAAGTTTGTCCAACATAGGGAACATCTTGTCGGAAACTCAAGAAGATAAAGAGCGAACCATCGACTTGAGGAATAAAGCTGATCGCATCAAGTGAGTTTTCGCGGCACCTCTGAGCCTACGCGGAATCAATCAACCGTGTCGAACGGGAATTGGATCCTGCCCCTCTCATCCGATCTGCCTTTTTCCAGGGACGAAGCCCAGAAAATACTGGACCGAGCTGAGGCTGTCCGAGGGTATTTGAATGAGGCCGCCGAGGACCAGACCGCCACCCGCGCGATCAACGAGCAGATCAAGCGCGAACTGGAGAACTCAAAGGCTGATATCGCAGATGTGAGTCATACGTTTTCGGTCGTTAGCGTTCGGACCCTGGACTGGCGACAGCGTTACGGGTCGATCGTCGCAAGCGTGTTCATGCAGGGCGAAATGTGAATGGTCGACGGCTCCGTACAGGAAAGACAAAGTCGAGCCTCCATCTGATCGTCCGCACGTTTCAGCTCAATGATCGCGGAACGTTGGTGAAACAACGCTCCACCGATCTGCTCGCGCAGACTCTGAATTTGACGGCGACCCTGAGGCAATTGACAAGGAACAAAACTGACGCCAACATGAAGGCAAACAATCTCCAGAGAGAGTTCACTGAAGCTCATCGTGAAGCGGAAGACGCTCACGCGATGTCTGAGAGCCTCAATCTGAAATATCAGTAAGCCCAACTCCCAGGAACCTCCCTTATGGGCTCTTGCCTCAATCCCGACCTTTCCTCGACGGTCGGACCTCCGTTCATGCTTTCGATCTTCCAGGGAAGCTGTCAACGAGATAAGCCGCAAACAGCTATCGGATAACGCCAAGAAGGAACAGGTCGACGATTTGAGGCAGCGAACCAATGAGCTGTTCAAGGAATACAAACGAATCGCTGTGGATCTCGAGTCCATCGAGGATTTCTACGCCAGCTACGAGAAGACGGTAAGGCCCGAGACGCTGGGGAAAAAATCCCTCCTCAGGAACGGAACTCTCGATTTCATGAGAAACAGCGGAATCAAGAGCGAGAAGATTTCTCAGAATTATCAATTTCCAGATGCAGAATCACAATGAGCAAATATTGAAAATGATGGAAGAGATGGACAGATACCAAACGCAGATCGACACCAGCGCCACCAATTATCAAGTGTGCGTTCCGTAATGAAGACTTTCCAAATAAAACTATTTTTCCACGATGACTTGTATGACAGCAAAGTTTTCAATTTGATCGACGCTGTCCCCCGTTGATAACCCCGTCGATCAACTAAGATCGCGCTACTGTCCCTTCAAACGAGTGCGAGACGGTCGCGGGCTCTCCTTCGTGAGTTCGCCGCAGGAAGTCGATTTTCCGCCGATTTCCGTTGAGAATCTCCGCCATATGCTGGATTTCGAGGTCATCCCTTCTGAATGACCGCGATGGAAGATGGCCGGGCACGCAACGGAGAACGCCCCGTGAAAGAAAAAAAACGCGTGAAAAACTTCAATCCTAGGGAATATTACTTCATTCTATTCCTTCACCATCGAATATCAGTAAAACGTCGATACGCGGCGGTCAAAGATCATGATGCCCACTGACATGAGAAGGAGCGGCAAACGATGACATGTAGGTCATCCTGGTCGCTCACGAAGTTTTTCGCGATGAGTCCAACTAAACTTAGTGAGCCACGGTCCTCCGACGAGCCCCAGAAGCAGGGGAAAGTTCTCAATGTCCTCGATGCTGCTTACGACAGGACGGCTCAAGGTCACTGGTTGTTGAGAGAGAAAGGCTTCGTGCCTCGAATACGGCTGGACGAAAGGGGCTCCTATCCAACCGAGGGACTGAGAAACCCTGAGGAACGTCCGAAAAGCACAGATTCCGAAAGCTTTTCTACAGCGACACTCTCGATGTTATTCCCCTGACCTGCGGAAACACGTGATTACTCAGAAGCATCGCCGAAATGTCTGAGCTTATTCGGTGACCGCTAGAAGACTCGATTCGTTCATGTGTTTGTGTTGGACCTGAGACGCTGTCGCGATACATATCTGCTCTCGATCCTCTTCAAGGCGGATGTGTTTAGGCGCTCCCGACGTACTGGCTTTAAAATGAATTTCGCACGCAGAGTCTCTCTATCGATTCCCGAGTCTATCGCGGCGAGAAATCGACGACACTTATGCCGATCATGACGCGATTCCGAAAAGATGGAGATGAGCCAGAACTACGACGATCGAGCTATGCTTTTTTGTTCAGAAACGAAGGTCCTCATGGTATTCGAGTGTCGCCTCATCCATAACTGGGCACTCGATCGTCGATTCTGCCCGCCCGCGCTAGAAAGCTATGAAATGACGTGCGGGGTGATCCGGTCGGGATCGTGGTTCCTGGGATGTCCCGCGCATGTGAGAATCAAAACCGTGATGGCGCCGGATGGAAACTAGGTGTATGATTTATTATATTCATTTTATCTTCGCATCCCTACGACACAGAGTCTCCGGGGCAAGAAATGACTTGATGGCTGAATCAGGCAGGGTTCGGGGTATTTATTACACGTATATATAAGAACTGTACACTGGTCGTGGTATTAACAGAAACCCTGACTGATTGTTGATATACTATATGTATGAACAGAATCAACAGTTGGTAAATTAGCTTTGTCGTAAGCTCCAGAATGATGATATCAATATCGGCTCTGCCGTACAGTTCTATCCGCGATGCGCCGCGGATTCCTCGCTTTTGAACTAGGACTCCAGCTAAAGCAACGGCAATCGGGCCCGGAAGCGTCACAGACGAAGTTCTTCCGTCGAGTACGTTCACCCGCACTCGATCATCCTCCTTCGTACGTGTGCGACGAGTCATACAATTATTATCGTTCCAGACCACTATGAATAATCTCTCAGACATTCAGGCGCAGGACCATTGGACAATAGAAGCATTTCTAATTTAGGTACAGCATTTCTTTACATCTTAGCAACGACGACAGCTTTGGCTCCTTTCTCGGCGTCTTCGACGTAGTCGAGTTCCGCAGCGTTTATGACCATCGATTTTCGAGGGGTCATTGTGCTCGTGATCACCCACATCACTGAAAAAAAAAACACTCTGAATACGCGATGCCCTAAGATGGCGTTCTGACGTCTGACCTAAGCGAAGGACCGCTCGGGGATACTCACTGCCCATGATTATGGTGAGAAGAACGCAGAGGCCAGTACAGGCGTACATCAAAATCATGGGATTTTCGTCGATGTCCCGCCCGACAATGAAGGGAGGCGCCATTCCCCCTGAGCCGGAGAATATTGTCGAGATGGACATCATTTTGTTCGTCAGTGGCATGAATTCGACCTGCACGAGAGGAAAACTTGCTTATCCCCTGGAGCTCCGCGAACTATCCGACGTGATTCGTCATTCAGGAGAAGGGGATTCCCCAGCGACTTCTCTCATCGTCACGTTTCCTCATCGTTTCACTCACCGTCCATGTGATGACTGTGGCGTACATTCCGGCGGCTCCGATTCCGACCATGGCAGCGCAGGCCCAAACCATGGTTTTGTTGGTTTCGCCGAACCATAGGAACATTCCGAAAGCAAACAGCGACATCGTGTGCTCGGTGAACATCATGCATTTCGGCGTTGATTTCAACGCCCAAAACGCTGAGAACACTCTGGACATCGTGAATGTTGTCCAGAACAAAGAGCTCAGATAGGAAGCTTGCGATTTGGTAAATTGCAACTTGCTCTTCACGGCAAATGCGGACAACATCTGCCCCAGGCAGCTTTCAAGAGCAACGTAGATCATCAGATAGAAGGACAGGCACATCAACAAGGTGTATCTTTTGCATTTGCCCGCAGTGACGCCCTCGTTCTGAACGGCCGGGGGTGGTTTCGTGTCGGAAGAGTCGATCCAGTAGAACACAAACATAGAAATGAAGAGGAGGAAGTGGACCGAGGCGATTATTCCGTAAGGAATGTCGATGCGGGAAGGCCTGAGGATGGTTGCAATAGGTCGGGTACCGTTGTAGAACGGTATAGATGTCTCATCGAAGACATCGATCGAGCGCACGGAATGAGAGTGGCTGATGGCGTCTCCGGTGCTCTTGTGGTGAAGGCTGAGGAAAGGCTCTGCGACGATCGGCGACAGCAGACCACCGATTCCGAAGGCGAAATGGTATATCTGCAGCATCGGCCCGTTTTTCTTGCCCCATAAATTAATAATCCAAATATTGGCACCTGCATCACGGAGAAAATTTCCATCAATTTTCAGAACCCTTGACACTTGGGCTCGATTCCGGCTCCACGACATCCAAAAATTCAAAAGGGGACTATTTGTTATTGCTCACCGGTGTCGAAGATTCCGACTGTGAGACCGTAAACGAAAGTCGCGGCGTAGGCCATGGGCAATGTGGGACAGATGGGAATCAGACTCGAGGCTATCGAGGCTATGAGCAGAGCTGACGTGATCAGAATCTGGGTATTGAACCTGCGAAATTCAGGAAAGAGCTCGGTTATCGATGTGATCTTACTGGCAAGGCCACGGCGGGATTCGAATATACGCGAGAGTGCTCGAACGCTAAAGAGATTGTCGCTGACAGAGAACCGTACAGCCTTGGAAGGGGCGGCTCTTGGGCTTGTCGACACCCTCAATGACGTCGTATCAGATTCTAGCCGGAGTGGACCGCTTGTTTTGAATCTGTTCGCTGGTCCCGCTCAGGAGTGGAGTGCCACTTGCCGGCGGTCGGCACAGCGCAGATCGAGACTCAAGTGGGCACCGGTCATCGAAGCCACACTGTTATCGCATCGATATTTTTCACTTCACGAGCTCGTATGTCTCGGCAACGCTTTCGGAACTCGCCACGGCTCGACACATAGCGGTGAAGATGCGCTCCCTTCAAGTTCCCGCCGGGAAACGAAGGAGGAAAGCTGGCGATTTTTCCTGTCGCCATTCCAGGACTTACCTATCCAGGAGCATCCCACCGAATAGGGATCCCATCAGAGCTCCACAGCCTCTGAATGTGATGATGTGCGAGGCATCTCTGGTGGTGGTGCCGTAGATTTCTGCCAAATCTAGAAGAGTGACTCCGATTACGGAAGTCATGAGACCCTGCAAAAACATGAATTTCGATAAGCTATTGTAGGTCGACGATTCGCGGGTTGGTACGGCACTGTCCATGGAGGGAATCTCCACCGAGCATTTCTCCCTGCGGCTGGGGATATTGTCGGGTGATCCGTCGTCCTGCGCCGCCACGGCGACGAATTTTCGACAGCTTGATTGCCCCTCAATTCAATGTCCCCTTCGAGAATGCTCATTCAGAAATTCTCGATTGAAAGGACAGTTACACATGAAACAGATGGAACGGTCATTGGGAACCAGCTGTTTCAAGCGTCGAGGATCTCCGATGCAAAGCCAGTAGTCATCGTTCTGGAGCGCCTCGACTAAAGGCCAAACTGAACTTCTCACGGAACGCGTGGTGTTGGAAGATTCCGTGTTCCTGAAGCCTGGCTAAACACACTCGGATAACGCTCCACCGGAGTGAGCGGCGCAACGGGACTATTATTCAGATTGCCATAGAAAACATCTACCCACTCTTCGTTTTGGCCGAAAACGTTCCAAGTTCGCGGACTCCCGGAGGTTTCCAGCGGAGATCGTATACTTCTCTGATCGCTCAATCCATCAGGCTTCGGAGTGAGCGAGATCGAGCGGGATCGGCTCTCATCCGATTGTTCATCTTCTCCTCGGTGAAAACCGCCGAGTTCGTTGACAGAAGACGCATATCGATTTTCAGAGTGCGAAAAAGACTGTGTCGTCAATGCTCGGCCAAGTGATTCTCCAGGCAGAAAATAAGGTCTGCTCAATCGCGCGATTTGCCCTCGTTCGTTCTCTCGCCGAGCACCCAACGTACGCGGCCATAGCCACGCCATCTTTATGGATCCGAGGTCATTGGACGACCGCAAACGTGGGTTTAGAGTTCCGGTCGGAGCACTGGAAGCCAACTTGAACTGGATCCAGCCGGTCCGAACTCGGCCACACGTGGTCGATGAACGCATCCGACAGCTCTCCCTCGGAGCCGACTCAGTCAGTCAGAAGCGAACTAGCCCGACGGCCGCGGACGAGTCGACCGGCCACCGTCGGGATCTCGTGGTGGTCCTCCCCCACTCATCGGTTACGCTCCACGCAACACCCGTCAAGGAAAGGGGGAAACGGCTCGAGACTCCTGCGGAGCATAATTCGAACGGGATCAGAGGTTGGACCGAAGGATCACAGCAGCATCGAGAGCGGACGTTGAGGGTCGTCGAGTTGGGTGAACGGAACTCCTCGCAAAACATCCCGCCAGACTGTGCCAAAAAGTTCAGATTCGGATTCGGATTCTCGTGCCTCCTGAGGGGAATTCCCCGAGAAGCCAGTTGTCGATTGGAAGACGATAGGTATGACGCAAAAAAAAAACGATCGCCGTACTTTCCGCGCGGGACGAATGAGAATTTACGATTGGTGTCTCTGATCGGCTCGCTATGGCCCATGATCGAAAGTTCTTTCCGAAATTGACACGGATATATTCGAGAAACAAGATTCCGGAATTTATAATAGCCACATCCGTCACACGGTTCTCCCGTTATCTCTATCGAGGGCGCGTTATCAGTGAAACCCCGTTTTCGCGGTGCATCGATCGCCAGAACTGGCACAAAATAAGAGACGAGAGAAAACCTGATTATACATACATTCAGGGGGGACGAAATATCTTTGGGTGTTCGGACGGATGAACGCCGCCAGCGATGAGCATGTTGGGACGTGATGACTCGCGAGGCTTACGATCCGATAAGGAATCAGACGAAAAAGTTTCTTGATGTTATCGGTTATATATTGGCATCATGGAATGCTCGATGGAATGCGTTCAGACAGGATAACGACGGGACAGGCCCGGGCATTCTTCCCCATGATCACGGGATGACAATAATAGTCGATCCTTCCACCTAATTACATCGTAGTCGAGCTGATTGAACTCCGGGACCCGAAATGAATCTGTGTATAGCGGAGTCACCGGGTTTAAACCCCTTACGCCGCCCTCGACCTGAGCTTTGGAGACTACCCGGAAGTCGGGCAGTCCTCAGGGAGGCCGACCTTTCGCTTATTGCGATTTTATGCTTCCAAAAAAGAATAATCGCAGCAAATGCATTTCCACCGACAGTGGAGCATTCGCGCTGAATGCGAATTCCGACACGGGACAAGCAACTCACTCAAATCGTCAATTGACTTCGAGCGGAACTCGCTAGACCTTGAACTTGACAATGGAAAGTCTCGTTGAACTAGCTTTGGATAAACTCACCATGCCCAGACATCCCAGATTCAAGTTGATGGTCTGTCCGAATTTGACGAGCTTCGATTTCTCCTGCTTTTCCGGCAGGACTTTCGTTTCTACGGCATTCACCATGGTGAGCACTTCACTTAGGACACAGCAACGAAAGAAATAGAGAGGCAATCGGAAGAAAAGAGCCGCGACTCAGTACAGTCAGTCGAACCCAAGGATCGACCCCGAACCGAAGAATTGATGATGCTCCGAAACGCTGGTTCTCTCTCACTGAAAATCGAAAGCTCGATTTCTAGCGGAAAGTCAGGAGGACATGATGTCCGTGCTGTACTGAGGGATCGCTTGCTCTGTGAGAGTTTCGTGGGGTCCCGAGTTGATATCCCTCCTTCACTCCGTACCTTCTCTCCGCGTAGGGAAGGGACCACGGCCATCGTGAGAAGGTATAACGCTATTGGACTTCTATCGCCGCGCAGAATCCACAGTCGATTTTCGGAATCTCTTGAGTAGACTTTCGAGTAGCTCTCGCCCGCGAATGCTGTCTCGCAAGCTCCTCGGGGATGTCTCCCAGAGGGAGAGCTCGGCGACGCGGAGTTGGAGTCTGCGCTGGTCTGAAAATATGGGATTGTCATTCCTCTTTCGATTCCACAGAGTTAGTTCGCAGGCTTCAACGGATCATTTGAATATTGAGGCAACACGATCGATCTCTTGATTTCTTCCGGCGGAGAAGCGCTGGACACCCGAGGGAAGTCTCCGGAGAGTTGATGCGAGCCATTTACCCCCTCCCCTCCCGGTTCAATTTCTACCGGTCGCGGCGCGACTCTAATAATCGGTCGATGTCTCGGCGCACATATGCAAATGAATCAGCGACCCACCCGAGAGAAACCGATCTGTGCGTGTTATGGATCGCAGTTCTCGAATGCTGAGAACGAGTGCGAATTAATTGTTGGTCTGAGCATGTCGGAAATGATTTTGGGGTGGTCAACCGCTTTCTAGCTCGTTGTTCGGTTAGCGGCGGTCCTTAATCTTGATTACGCGACGCTGGAGAGAAGTAACACTTACTTAAAGCAATGGGCAGAGATAGAGCATATTATCTGGCTGCCACGGCATTCTAAGCGGTTGCACTGACGCGTGCGGTGGATTTCAGCCGCCTTCAAATGATTTAGATTGAGAAAGATGTCCAGAATACGAGAGCGGTAACAGACCGGAAACATATTCTAGTCAGTCTTCAAATGCAAGCACTTGAACCTCGTTTCTTAACGACCCGAGTCTCGTCGGGGTTAATGGTCAGGCCGGATCACTCTGGACATGCTCCGGGACAAGGGAACGCTTCTCATCATCGATCGTTCGGATAGCGCTCGAGTTCATTCGATCGGCCATCGTCGCATCCTAGGATGATGCTGACAACTGGAGTCAACTGGGATTTTCATTCGATCTCTTACTCGCACGGGTCGCATCGAAAGTGGTAACCTGAGAGTACGTGCTCCCGAAAACGAGCCTGTCAGGCGGAGATCTGAGTCCGGAGAAGACTCTGAGAGATACATGGGGCTTCGCGGAGAATCGTAGAACGCCTGCGGACTGCAGGGAATCGATTCGATTGTTCCAGTCTTGGCCGTCCACGGAATGGGAATTTAGCTTCAACTCGAGATCGGAGCTAGCGGATAATTTTTTCGCTCCGATCGGCCGCGGAACGAGTGCTCCTTCCCATTCTAGCTACCCGACGGTATCCGAGTCCTGATCTCAGACATGAAACCAGCAGGTCCGCCAATCTGCCCTCAAGTGCGTCGACTCCATCTTCCGGGAAGAGGGTTAAGGGTAATCTTTCGGACACCGGGATCATCCTCTTCTCGGTGCTTAATCGAATTAGCGGAAACGATGGTTTCAATAGGATAGCTCATCGAGCTTGCAATCAGCTGTGAAGAAAGCGGGAGTCCTCCAGGCGAGTTACGAAACTCACCCGTCTCGACGACAAGAGGATAGAACTAGTTAAATCACTTGAGCGCACGATGTTCACAGTGTCGGTGCTTCATGTCCTGCGTTCCGATGCTCCCCGAATTATTATTGGAGCTCGGTAATTAAAAAGAGGAGCTTCTCCGATCGAAGCCCGGGGAACAGCTGAGCGAGTAGGTGCACACATGTCTCGCGACCGACGTCGCCATACCGTATCGAATCGATTCCAGGAGAATCACCGAGCGCGCGAACTTCCGCGATGCCTTTAACCATTCTCGTACGTGACCATTCACGATCAGAGCGTGTATTCCTCGTCTTAAATGGGATTAATAAGAGCCAATCCCCGGAAACAGATATCATTCTGATATCGGATCACATCAAGCTCGCTTCGGAAGCTGAAAAACGCACGCAGTACAGAGCTGCCTAGCTCCAATCTCGTATTATGACGTTATGGAGGCCTGAACTGGTATTGCGCATCCCTCATCCTCGAGTTTCTGGATTGGCTCGATCAATGGATTCGCCACCTGAACGCTGATGTCTGGAGATCGGACAGAGCGAATCCTCGATGGAGCTTGTTGTTCCGATGTCGTAATTTTCAAACCCCTGGGGGCTGTAGTTGGGTATCTCCCGTATCGTCGCGATACCTTATCCGAATCAAGATTCTTAATACTTGATATCCGAAGCTTCCAAATGCTGAAATGAGACGACGCCAGAGACCTCTACCAGAGCGATGTCACCGTTCGAAACGAACCTCAGCCGCATCGATGCACGAGACGTCAGTTCATGACGTCCTTCTTCGCTCCGAGCTTGAGTTCGATCGATTCGGAATCGGGCATGAGTTCATAGGGGTCGGCAACATGCATTATGGGGCTGACCGCAGTAATGAGAAGTTTCTCTTCTACGGAATATCCACCGGCCACGGCTCGATAAGAGTCTCTCTCAAACTCCCTTCGGACCTCCAGAGATCCAGTACAAGCGCTCTGGTCGCGCATCGCGGTTGACAGTGAACCACAAATTTTGCGCCGGGAGATCGGCGTTTGTCTCCGATGTTTACGAGAGTTTTTTTTTTCGGTTCTCAAGACTTCGGTCCTGTTTGATTTGTGTTCGTACGTAGGTCTTTACTTCCGAGGGGCTCTTCGGAGCAACAGAGACCGTAGAACGAATCTTGAGCTGTTGGGGATCTGCGGCTCGAAGCTTCGTCTCGCGGTCCGAAAGCGAATGGCTAGTCGATCCTCGAATCCGCTACTTTACTCGCCTAGGCTCTTCATTCGGAAGGTTCCTGCGAGCGGATGTTGTCGACGATAAGTTCTGCGTAGCTCGTACTTGTACTCTGTGATCTCTCTTAACCTTTGTATGGGATATGACAACTTGTTCCAAGACTTAGTAACACCTCGCGGGGACCTTCCGGAAAAAACAGGCTGACTCCTAGACACGTGAGGAGATATTTCCGACTCAGGAAACGCGTAGAGATAAGTCTGTTTTTTCTTCTCTCCAAATCGCGCAACCCGAGACAGCCTGTCGCTCGGTTCCACTCCTTTTATCACGAACGTTCGACGTCATCGGGCACCGTCATCGCTCTGACTCGCTCGCGCTCTCTCGGAACGAGATGAGTTCCTCCGCAGCGAGAAATCTAGCGCTGAGGAATACTGAGCCTAATATATGCGGTCCCGGGTTCCTTGAGAGAGCTGAAGTCGGCACGATCGACAGCCAGATGATCTTCTCGATCGAGCACTTCCCGATTGGATTCGATCTCTGAAACTCCGCCGAGATCCTCGCATGAGTATCGACTTAGCTGGTACTATCGGTTTCTGAGAATAGGGATCCGTGCACTCATAGGATGTCCGATATTGAATTTGAATTGTCTCGAGAAGTTCCTGAATTTCGGACATTCCACATTTATGCTATTCGCGAGATTGAACACCGACAACCCGATCTACAAGAAAATCGTCTCTGATGATTTTCTCCCGTCGTCGTAGGGCGTGAGGAATGCTCAACTCAGAAGACCGCACTCAGATATTTTCCTGTGACACGGCCGGGAAACCAAGATGTCCCGAATCTAGGGAGCCTAATAATCACCGTTGATCCCTCATCCGATGGCTGAATCATATCCAAACAGAACTCCGGTGTTCCTCGATGTTTTCGCTATCACCGCGCGAACCGGTTGTAGCCGCTTTCTATCGGTCAGACGCTGCGGCTGAACTGCCGCTCGAGGCGCGTCCTGCTTACCTGTATCCCCGTACGAGAAATGAATCCCGATCAGTCGCAACTCGGCTGACTACAGATTTCTAGCTTTCGCTAAAATTATTATAGATGTCCGTTTCTGAGGGAGTTGAGAGTCGGATTGAATGAATTTTATTATATTCCTCGGCGAAAAAGGCTGCGAGAGCAGGAATCCGTGAGTTCTTGTCACAACTAGCGAGATACCTAGTTCCGTTGGAGACAACGAAGGTTCGAGAGGAAATCGCGTCTTCTGAGAAACAATTTATGTCGAAATTGAATACCTATGCCATTCTGCCAGATGTTGCGTACGGACTCCGACAAGCTATCGCGTGCTTGCGCTTCCAGACGAAGCGTTTCGGCGAGACGTTGGCCCTCTTGACCAAGCTCGGTACTGAAGCGGAGAACTTGTGCGGATTACTTGGAGGGTCGGGCCACGAACTAATGTGCGTGATCCGGCCGACGCGAGTTATTGGAGCGGGCAGCAAGGTCCTCATAGAGCTTCGCTTCCGACAAGGACCAAAGGAAGCGAAATTCGTCGGTCGCTCGGACGACTCCGACGACGAGTTCCGAGGCGGACTTTCCGAGAACGCTCCAATGTTCTCTCTAGACAGCGCTTTCTCTCTCACAGTGAGGTACGCGGCTCCCTCGGAACCCTTTCGCTTTTTCGCTCAGAAAACGCTTCTGGTCTCCCCTGAAGAAATACTCAACGAGCGGATCCAACAACAGGGTGTCTCGGTACGACTGGAAGTACAACTTTGCGTCGCTCTGCTATCCGACGACATGCCGAGTGCCCATGGAGCTCCGAACGGAAGCCTTTCAGCTGATTGCCGTGGGGAAACTCGGTTACGCTGGCTTATTCCGAGAATCTCATCTTGGTTCCACGGGCGCCTTGATCGTTTGGAGAAAATCATCGCGGATCTCCCTGAGAGAATCTCGGAAGTCAACGAGTCGAGCTCCTTCCCGCTCCGTTCGTGGATGGCACGAGCTCTCGCCGAGAGGCCGCAACTGCGTGTAACCTTGAGGGTCGAGAGCATACGTAGCGCGACTACTCTGTCACCAGGTAAATACTTTTTCAAGATTCATCACGACGGAATCTCAAGAAGCTTTTCCGGCGTTGTGATCGACCACGGTAGGCAAAACTGGGCCCTGATTCAAGAAGAACCTTTCGAAGTGAATCTATGCGCCAC